AGGCTATGGAGTTAGCTGCATCATTTGAGAGTCATGGCTGTGTCCTGAGACTACAGAGTGCTGGATGCATGTACTAAAGATCAAGTAAAGTAATTTTTAAGTATATTGAGAAGAATTTAAAATAACAGCCTATTTCATTAAAGCAGGGTTGAAATGACAGTTATAAAAAATACTACATGTAAAAATCAGCTCTTTAGTGACAGAACTTTGAAATCAACAAAAGATAAAAACAAAAAAAAAACTAAATCTTATTTGCCACAAAAAATTACAATATTAAGAGTTAATTTCCAAACTTTTATGTTTTTAATAAGAGCTTTGAAAACAGCTTCTTAGTTTTTAGTCAGACACTAAAATGCATCATTCATTTGGTGTTCATATTATGGCAAGATACATATGATACAGAATAAAGAGTTCAAGTTGCAAAATGTGCCGGTGATACATTTCCTGTTCACATTTTGTCAAATGGCCACAAAAAAAAAATCAACCACAGCTTGAGTACTTCAGACTGAAAAGGTGTTTCATTTTGTTCTACAGAAGCTGAAATAAGAACATCTTACAAATATTCATACTAAAATACATTTGCTATTATTTTGTGAATTAAAATGCAGACACAGCAGTAGTTACCTGCAGCTCATATGTGCGGCTGGCTCTCTCCTGCTTGATGCGTGTCAACATGTTTTCCTTCATCTCGTCCAGAACTGAGTGGAGGTTGGTGAACTCAGACTGCAGGTCCTCCTGCACTCGGCTGGAGTTTGCCTAGTGTCACAAAAAATGAGCAAGAAAACTGGATGAATACATGGACAGAGGGAAACTGACAAACTTTGGATTAAAATGAAGAAGATCTTAGTTCAGCAGTGTGTGCATTTGTACCTCCAAGTTGTCGAGACTCTGTTTGAGAGTGCAGATGAAGTTTGAAATCTCCTCATTCTTCACGGCCAGCGTGTGGGTGATCTTACGCAGAGATTCCTGAAGAACAGACAAAAAAATTCAACATTTTGTTAGTTATGCCTGGAAAAAGACAAAGTCTGATCCTTTTAGACTGAAAAAGGGAAGAGCATATAGTTTCATATTCTCCATCAGTGACTCCAAAGCTTGTGGCACAGAGGGCTGAATCACTGCAGGTTTCTCTACCAACCAAACACTACACCAGCTCAACTGAAGTGGTACTAATCAGTGTTTGGTTGAGGACACGAGCAGCTTTAGGCTTTCAGCTCCCTTTTATACATGATTAAACCCTTGTTCTTCAGGGTGGATCAGAGAGGACTAGCTTCTGAACGCAGGGAAGGAGGACACTTCACGGGCGGAAGGATGCGCATTTTTAATTGAATAATGCAGCTCCGGGACGATTGAACAGCCGACTCCAAGAGGACTGGACCCACACTGGGTCGATTATTATACAAATTACACCTCTGATATGTTACTACCCCCGTCGTATTTCCTCTCACGCTGCCTATCTCACAGTGAAAAGCCCATTCATATTCATACTGTAGGACTGTGTAATGTTTGTTGAAGCGAGAGGAGCTGCGCCAAGCCCCCACCCCCCTCCCCTCCAGTCCGCGACTGTTACGCCGATCCATCGATAACAAAGTGGTCCATGGCTTGACCAAGATAAAGCTCACCTTCAACCGGACAAACACTGATTAAAATAAATAACACGACTGTCAAGTACGAGGCTGCGCTGCATCCACAAACTCCCCAGTTTCGCAGCGTCTCCCCCTCCTTCCTTTGTACACTACGCCCTGAAACGGCTTCCCCCCACTAGAGACACCTGTTTCTCCCGCTCCGGCTCACCTTCTGGTCCCCCATGTCGCCGCACAGATGCACCGGCGCCGCTCGAGCCGCAAACACCGCCGGAATTTCTCCTCCGTCCCCCGGTTTTTGGTTTAGTAGCACGGCAGAGCTGGTACTGATGCTGCCGGGGTGCAATGCATCTTCGCACGGACACCAACCACCAACGCCTTTGGGCCGTAGTGCGTACTGCGCATGCGGCAGAGGAGGATTCTGGGTAGTGGTGTTTCTGTTGTGTGAGTGAATAATGCTGCCTTCAGGTACTGTTGGACCAGACTGATAATAATTTTTAAAAGTCATATAAACCAGATTTAAACAATAATATAGCAGCATTATTTTCTGTGTAAAGATATAGTGGAATAAAGGCGTTCTGAGTAAAAGACGAATCCGGTGTCTGGTAAGGCGGCGCGTGCATGATAGTGCACGTATGCGATAGTCCCCACCTGTTGGTCTTCCCTACATTTACAAACACGCAGGGAGCGACCACATGCGTGATGCAGTTCAGCGTTCAGGTGAAAGCCGCTGTTCACAATTTCCTCCTTTCAAGAAACCACGTTTTTATATATATAAAAAAAAAATAATACTACTGGTTTGGCTACCATGATGGAAAACCTCATGAGCTGCTACAAGGCTCCAGCTTGACCTGGATCTGTTTTTTTTCCCCCTCTGTGTGTAAGTAACTTGATGGCTACCTAGCGACTGGCAACAGTACGCATGCTAACGTTAGCTAACTTGCTGTTATTGATATTATGAATTTGTTTGGCAAATGTTGCTATAGCTAGCTAGCTTACTGCCAGCATTGCTGTGTAGCATATCATGGCAACGCTGGTGTAGGTTAATGGTTGTGGTTGGATTGGTTTTTGTTGGTTTTTGTGTACATGGTGACTTAATTCAGTTGTGCTTCTTGTTGAGTGTTTAGTGGCCACTTCCACTTGGCTTCCTGACAGAGAACTTGAAGGGAGGGTGAGATGCGACCTACAAAGCATTTGTTTTGGTCTGAGATATTGCTGCACATCTGGTGGCAGTGAGATCTACAGAACCTTAAAAATTTCTTCTTCTTTTTTCAAGTTTATCAATACCTTCTTAATAATATATTTTGTTTGCTTGAAGAGTTAAGATTGAGTTTTAGGTATACTTCATAGACTGTACGTAAAAAGGTATAATTGTAAAAAGACACTATGACAGCACTAACAAAACAAAACTGTGATCATGCAATAAATAAAAGTATAACTCCTGGTTATTTCCCTATCCTGACATAACTTATTCAGCGTCTGCATCCATCCACATAAATAATACATTTACTCAAGTACTGTTCCTCATTTTGAGGTATTTGTATTTTACTTTTCATTTTATGTGAATATATACTTCAATCCTAAGACATTTCAGACAGAAATATCTTTTTACACCTACATTTATCTGACATATATATTTATTTGTTACTTTTCAGATCAAGATTTTACATGAAGAAACAAATGAAATAAGCTCATAAAATACAACATTAAGATTAAACTGGTAGCTCACTGGTGGCTTGTGACCCTTTTACTTTTTCTACTTTGTATACTAACTTTTTTTGCTATTGCTTTCTACTCATATTTATTATATATATTATATGTATTTGAAATGACAGACTTTTACTTGTAACAGAGTATTTTACATTGTAGTATTGCTATACTTTTACTTAAATAAAGGATCTGAGTACTTTTTCCAACACTGGTAGTTAATAAGAATACTAGTATATTTAGCAAGGCGGTATTGATTTCTGATCTGACGGTTTTCTGAAAGTGTAGAAAATCATTATTACATGGCAAATGTTTTTAAATATTACTTTGATGAAACAGTATAACTTTATCTGGAGTATTTTCTAAATAATGGTGGAATAACTAGTAAAAGGGAAGCCAAAACTCTTCTCACAAGATCCAAGAGTGATGACAATACGAATGTGTTCTGTGGATGTAAAAAATAGAGCATTTGTGTTTTTAATTACAAATCTTTGTCACTACAACACAAGTATTTATATTGTAACCAAATATGTAGAATAATACGTTTTGCTTTAGTGGCAAAGCTGGAATTGTGATAATAATGAACAAAAAACACACTGAAAATGTGCAACAAGTAACACATAAAATACCAGAACAGACAGTGAGATAAGATCCATTTCTACTGGTTTTACTAGTATTTTCAGTTTAATTAAAAATGTACAGGAGCTATGCTTCAGTGCCCTCTCAAATCTATTGTATGTAAACCACTCTCTTACTAAACAAATAATTTGACATAGTTTCTCTATGTATAATCTAAGACAGGACCTACTTTTGGGCTTGGTGTGAAAAATCTTGAGGTTTCAGAAGTGATACACTGCCTGTAAACTTGAGATGTTTCATCTTGGCCTTTTCTTTACTTCACATACAATCCAATACAAAACACAGTCACTTATTATGCCACAACCACTGACTTAAAGGAAATTAAAGGCAGGTTTATAGCAGACAGAGTAAATCATTGCAACATAACAGTATTTCTGTCATCATCTCATCTCTCCTGCATGAAGCTATACTGTAAGAAATATTATTTTTATTGTCCCTGATCTCTGCTGTCTCAATTATTATATTGTATTATGCCCATTATTTTATAGGTTGTGGTTGGAAATTGAAAGTTCTACCCCATCATACTTAGTTGTGTCTTGTCACCGGAAGCCAATTGCTCTTTTTCTAGTAAGACAACGTGGGGACATGGGGAAATGTGTTTTCGCACCCTTGCACCAAAACCCACAAGGGTTTCATAAACCCCTCATGTAGTCGTGTGCCCTGTTTTGTATTTCACAGCAAGTCAGCACATGTAAATTTATCTCAATGAGGAATTAGCTGTCTGACATCAATCTGCAGAAGTGTACAGGATGTAGGCTATGCATAGCAGTGCGGTAGCAGTCACAGGCCATTTTGATGTCTTTCTGTTATGGAACAGCAGCGCTTTAATGTTTGGTCTCCCTTGTCTTTTTCAAAGCCTACATGATTTTCCATCTTTGGTTTTTGAATATACAACTTGCACTACAGTCAGCTCTCTCTGTGAAAGCAACTAATTTTCATGGTACATTGATAGAAAACCCCTCCTCCCACCCACACACACACACACACACACACACACACACACACACACACACACACACACACACACACACACACACAGGTTTCATGTCTACAGCTCTGTCAGATGTGCAGAAGGCAGGCAGCAGAGACAGGATGAGTGTTAGAAGAAGACCACCTTGCATATGACACAATGGAAGTGTGGCTGAAGCAGTTGGCTCTGGTGCTGTTCACAGGTGAGTGTCCTGACTTGATATTTGACACATTAAGATGTTGTTACACTGACAACAAATATCCATATAAGTCTAGCATGATGATGCTAAATGCAGTGATGAATGAACAGAGTTTCCTGTTTGTAGTTTTTGTTACTGCTGGTGAACAAACAAAAAAAAAATTTTAATTTTGATTTTAATGTATCTATTTATCTATCTATTTACAGTGGCAGCAGCAGCTCTGGGGGGATCAGATCAACAATGTGTGATTGTGGGTACAACACAAGTAAAAGTTGATTTGGGGTCCTCTCTGAATTTGTGCTGTTTTTTGTTGAAAGAGACGTATCAAAGATTTCGGGTGAGCTGGTATTTTAACCGAAATGAACCTTCACTGAACAACTCACAGAACATCTCTGAGATGATTGCTGGTGAAAATATCTCCACCCAAGGAGACACACACTTGATGTTGCATAATGTTATGCACAATAACAGCGGATGGTACTTTTGCAAAGTCACATCAGAGATTCCCTATCATACTATTACTTGCAGCAATGGAACACGAGTAGTTATTGGTAAGTATACAGAGTATGCAAACATTTAATAAATGGTTTATAATGAAATATGATGTAGTTGTGAGCAGATGTAAAGAAATTTTAAGTATATTAATGTACAGTATTTTAACTATATATCACCATAACTTCTCCTATGTAGACATTTTTTAAATAATTGCGGCTTTGTTTTACTACATTGTCATTCATTATCTGTTCATAAATCAGCCTCCAATTATCAGTGATCACAGCAGGAGCTATGGTTGCTGACAAATGCTTTCAATACTACATTATAGTGGCTTATAAACCATTTTATCTGTTTATATGCTGTATAGAAAATGCAGAGCTTTTATTATTATTTTATTAATGTTTTATTGTTATGAAACATCAAGAATGGATTCATAAATATTGGAAATACTCTGGTTTGCCAAGACCTAACAAATGCTTGTTAAAGTATCGTTTTTTTCCTCCGTCACAGCGCAGAGCTTGGAAAAAACAACGTACCCGTCACTATTAACGAGTAAACAAGGTGTGTGTGTGTGTCTGTGTGAGTTTGTGTGTATGTGTGTGTGTGTGTGTGGATGCATACCCATGAACAATAATGCACCATGTATTTTTAGGACCCAGCACAGTCTCAGCTGGGTTCTTAAACTTTTCACCTCAAAAGTCAAAATATATCTGGTGGCAGGAAGCGTAGATTTTCCACTGAACTGACAGGTTTTGATGTCGTGTCCACTTGTAGATGTGATAAGAAATTGGGGGTGAGAGATCAAAACTGTTTATGGGCTTTCCGATTTATTCTTCTGAGGTGTGAACTTCTATGGAAACCACAAAACACTTTAACACTTAACTTTATATCGGCCTTATTCTTGTATGTTGGCCCATTTGTAGCCTGAGAACATGTTTTATACAGTATTTACTAAATAACACAAATGTTTTAAAATGAAATTGCGATTATGACCTATAATGGCTTATTATGGCTTAAGGACACATTGGCACAAAATACAGTATGATCACATTTCAAGACACATTTTCTCTTACAGTGACGCATCAAGAACTACTCCCTTTTGTTTGGTGGGTCTGGATCGTGTTGGGGGTCTCAGCTTTCATCCTGATTGTCCTGCTGGTCATACATACCTTGCTGAAAAAAAGATGCATCACAAGCAGAGGTACCCTCCTCTTCCTTTAGATAACGATCTTGACCTAATAAGACTACAGCAAACAACATCTATAGATTGTAGATAAACTCTGTATCTACTGTAGTGTGAAATCCGTTCTGAGAAAAAGAGGGTGAGAGGTAAAGATGAAAATAATCTCACAAAAAAAAGACCCAGTAAGATCAAATCTGCCCTGGTTACAGACTGATTCATTTCATTGTAAAGATTTGCATTTAATAGAACTACTAAGGAACAGACTATTTTTTGTTTGCCTGTATTTCTGAGCGAGACAACCAAAGGGAGAGGAAACACTTGATATGACAGCCGGTAGTTATATCTGCCCAAGCTGTGGCCGGTGGAAGCAAACTGAGTAAGCAAGAGGTATGTGTGGTTAGACAGCACAGCGTGAGACAACTTAAGAATGTCAGTATAGGATGAACGAGGCTGCCTCTACTCTCCTGTGTGGTTTAAGCGAGGAAAGCATGAAGACTTTAATTTCTAGAACAGACCCCTGACAGGAAAGACTAGATCAACTTTTTGCAGAGAGAGCTCAGTGCAGGAAGTGCATACATAAGATCTAGCTACAACCAGCTGACCGGCACTGAGAACTGTGTCAGATATTTACAAAAAAGTAAAGTAAACCACCCACACCGTACCACGCACCACTTTTATTGCATTGCGTCTCATAAAGACAATTTTACTTGCAATTGCAGCCTATAATTCACATGTAAAATACATTTCCACATAGATTATTGCTGAATCATTTGCTCTTTTAAAGGGATCTGTTTTGTCTTTACTGAAACTCTCACAGATGCATTTGATACTTCTTCAAAAATGAAGAAACCAAAAATATCAAAATATGATAAATATGTGAAACGCTCAAATCTTTCGCTACTTTTGTCCATAGCTGAAACTATTATTTGACTAATCGATCGACAGATTAATCAGCAACTACTTTGATAACTGATTAACTATTTAAGTCATTTAATCATTCCGTGGTTGGAGCTTTTCCCAATGTGAAAATTGGCTGCTTTAATCGTTTATATCATTGTAAACTGAATATCTTTAGGTATTTTACTGTTGGTTAGAGAAAAAAATATATTACAAAATGTCAGCTTGAATTTTTTTAGCAGATGAATCGAGAAAATTAATATTGAGAATATTTGTTAGTTGTCAAAACAGTAGATGATTTTTCTTGTTGTTGTCGCACAGAATTCAAATGTACACTTATCTTCAATTGGACCTGTAATACGCTGAGTTAATGTCAGTGATCAAAACGGACATAGATTGCTTTTCTAATCATGTCCGTCGTTATTAAATCCTCACATGCAAAATATTTCAGCCACCATTCAAACATCTTCTAAGCGTAAACGGTGCATACTGTCAGTGATCGGGTATTGTCGGACTGCCGAAACTATTGTTAACAGATGACTTTAAAATTCAGTCACCTAGTAACACATTCTTTACTTTTCAGTGCAGTTTATCACGTTGTCGTTTATAGCTCACAGCAACTCATTCATATTTCTGAAACACATTTACACACAGTGATCTTAATACACAGTAGATACAAAAATTCCATCAGACATCACAGGCAGACAACAGACCTCTCTCTGTAGGAGGAAGTAGTTTACAAGCGAATGACTTTATATACAAAAAATGTTAACCTCATTTTCAACACCTTGTGAATATTAGAGCTACTGCAAGACAGTGTAGTTTTATAATTTATATAATTGCCGTGATGAGACAGTGGTCTTTTGTGTATTATAGTTACTGTAAGGTGTTTACTGTGACTACGGGACACACTGGAAATGTGTACACTGTCAGTCAGATGCTGTGAATGTAGATGTTTTCGTTGAAACTGATGTTTGGTCTGACTGATATAGTCAGCTGGCTGTTCAACTACAATGTTTGGAAATTAAATAGACATTTCACTGGACTTGATATTGACACGGTTCTTTTACCATTTAACCATCTGAACTGTAAAGAGAACTTGCATTTTGGCAGCAGTGATGCACTGAATTCATCGACTTTTGCAGCATGGGTCAAACATTTTGAGTGACGGCTTTTCATGAGACAAAACAAGTGTTGTGCTGTGAATATAAATTGATGCAGTGTTTGCATTTCATGTTTTGAGAACATGACATCACAACTGGTGACAGTGATACAGAAAATGTGCTATGGAGAAGAACTGTAATGTGTGGCGCTTCTAATATGGTTGCTGTCGGGCCAGAAAGTGAAATGTGCTTCGGAAAATGTAATAAATTCAACATTGTTTGAGAGGCACAGCACACAAACAACAATATCTGATAATTCAGTTACTTAAATTTTTTTTTTTTACTCCGAAAATATGTGCCTACATTTCCTGATGGATTTTTAATTTGCAAACGAAGCTTTGTCACCCTAAACTGACAACATAGACTGAGTTCATAACAGTATCTGTGAAGCACTTATAAATAAGTATTACGGCTTTCTGCCAATAAATATTTGTCCATATATTAGGCCTATAAGTGGATCAGAGGAGTTTGCTCCAGTTTGAATGATTTGATATTTCAGCAACATGGATGTAATGTCAGTAGATAATTAATTCCAAGGTAATTGCAGGCAGTGCCTAATTATGAGTATAAATGAAGTAAAAGTAATAAACAGGAAAATTACAGGTTATTTACCACTGTCCTGTTATAATATCAGGTATTTTATCACTGTTTTTAAATGGCTTTCTTCCCAAATATATATAATGTCATTTTCCTTGCTTTACACTATTACTGTCAAAAATCATTTGCACAGTAATATATAACTAAAAAAATATAGCAGCTATTTTAAAGGGTCAAACTGTATTTTTTCTCACAATCTTTACCCAAATACATTTCATCCCGCTTCAAAGTTAATCTTCAGTGATGGAGGCACATTATGTTACTTTTATCTTTAACCTTTAGATGAAGTACGTCTTTTGAGGGAATTTAGCCAAGAATGTATTATAAACAAACATAATACTGACACAAATAACATTTTAGATTTTAATTTTTCCCAGAACCTAGACGTGGTGGTATGGCATATTACATAGATGGAGTTTGTATGTAACGACAGAAATTCATCATGTATTCATTCTGCTTTTAGTCTTCAATGCAGGAGAGGATCCTGTCTATATAAACATGCATCGTTCTGCGGCAAACAAACAGCCATCACCTCGGCCCGGGGCACAAGTCAACGACCTGAAGACAGTCCCTTCCTCTCTAAACCTCTGCCCCCCGAGTCCCGGCGGGAGATACGACGAAGGCAAACGGAGGCAAAAACCGTGAGGAAGTCACGGAGCTTGTTTATTTAGACACGGTTTTACCCCAAACTGGACATTTGTATCTTATTTTATGTATTTCTTATCCTGTAAAACATATCTTTCATTAGCCACTAGATGGCAGATGGTACACAAGTAAATTTAAAATGCTGTTTTTTTTCTTGTCTTTTTTTTCTTTTCTCTCTTGTTTCGACATCTTATATTATTTGAATATTTGAAAAAGTTTCCAGCAGTAGTTTAATATGTTAAATAATAAAGTGGCAAATTGTTCTTTTTAGTGTGAAATAGTGATGAGACTAAAATTTTTAATGTTTTGAACTGAATGTTTTAAATGAACTGTATGTTTATATTAAAATTTAAAATGCTGAAAATGCAGTTTTTGTTGTAAAGTTTGTAATATTTACATTTTAAACATGTGATGGTAGCATCCACTAATGGATCTGATACAATTTAATTTTTCATTTTAAACGTGCGATTAAAACACACACTTGGGGGGGGGGGGACAAGTTGTCCAAACATTATTATTATTATTCGGTCTCATCTGATTGGCTGCGAAGTGAACGAGCACTTTTGAAGTAAGGTACAATCAAAAGTCACATGATCAGGCGCTGCCAGATAATCGCTCCCTGCAGGAGTTGGATGTGGAGTGAATGTTACAGGTGGAGCAGAGAGAGGCGCAGAGCCGGATCCGAGGGGAGACGACACCAACAGCGGCGGTGTGGACGATCTTTTATGTGGACGACTCTTGACAGCTCCGGGTAAGTCGGAGCTCTGTTACACGGACATGAGCCGCTGCTGTGACTTAGTGACTTGTTTGTGCGCAGGTTTGAGTCCCACTGGCTTTTTTCTGTTTCCTCGGAGCTCGGGCTGGTTGAGGGAATTGGATTGGCAGCCTGCGGGGCTGAAAGGAGCACAGACAGCACTCTGTAACATCTCTGCCTTATCTAAAGATTATAGGATATCCCAATCTAATAATAGCAGCCGAGAGCTAGTCTAAGCAGTGGTAGGATATGTTGTACAAACACTTAATGGTGTTAGTGACACTGTGAAGGGGGGCGAGGGGAGGGGGTCATACTTGTAAGGTCGCTGGTACAGCTTCAGGACAAGTGCCACAGCAGTGAATGTGTGGTCAAATCCTGTGGGAAAACTCTTGCAACCACAAACCCAACTACTGTTGCTAAATATATAACTTCCCTTTTTTGTAATCCACTGAGAACCAACGAGCAACAATTGAATCTTCTGGCTTTCAAAGGTAAAAAAAAAAACATCATACAGTAGTAAAGTAGTCCAGAAAAAGAAATCAACAACTTGTGAAAATGTGGATTTTGTGTGCCATTTTGGAGGTGTTAGTAGTGGCTTTCATTTTGTGAACATTGCGACTGAATTTAACTGAATGTTCTGGGAGTGAAAGTGATAGTCAAGTGTGTGTTGTATCACAGCACATGATACGTGTGTGGCTGACCGAGCAGGGGGTTGCTGTACTAAATTCTGTCATTGCACTTGCTGGAGATTGCACAGGGGATTGCCCAATTTTAGCTGTCACACTGCAGCTCAGTGGGGTCAGTGGGTGTTGAGGCACACAGCTAAGCCACAAATAATACTTTTTTTTTTTTTTTTGACACTGGTTTGTTTGTCGCTGCAGGAGCATAGATCATAAATTACCCCTTGCAGCTCATGGTTAGAGGGACTCAGATGGACAGTGAACATAAGTCTGGAGAAACAAAGCAGGAAATAACACACCTTTACTGTTGTGTCTATCACATGATAGGCTCACATGGTATTTTTAACGCTGTGTTGGCAGCTATTTATAACACCTGATCTGATGAAGCTGCAGGCCTGATACACAGGTGTGAGGAAAACAATCTAATAAACTTCCAGTTTGTGCCACGTCTCCATCCATGATGTTCTGAATCAGTTTGAGTCAGAATATGTTTTTTGAAAGCAGCATGTCTGCTGTCACCTCCATGATTATTGTACCATTTCTTCACCAATACACCTGAAAAAAAAGGAAGATAATTGACCATTTTTGATTATCGATTAATGGTAAGAATTTGCCGCTTTTCACTTTTATATGATAGTAAACTGAATATCTTTGGGTTTTGGACTGTTGGTCGGATAAAACAAGATGTCACCTTGAACCGTACCTTAGATTTGGACATTTGTCACTGTTTTCTGACATTATATTGACTATAAATGAATTGCTTAATCAATAAATTAATTGTAAAATTACCCTAATACATATGGAAAATAATTGGTATTGCAGCCCATAGTTTTGACTCAATAAAGTTCAATCAAATGACAGTCCATTAGTCCTGAAATCAGTTCCGTGGTTTTGATTTTAAATCTATATTGAAGTCGTCACCACAGTTTGTTTTCTTGGGTGTTCCCGTGTGTCAGTGAACTTGTCATGCATTACTGGTAGAGCAGGCAGAAGAGTTTGTGTGTTCATATTTTCCTTTTGTGCCGCAGCTCCTGCTGGGACTTGCCTGGGTGTTTGTGTGAGTGTGTTTAAGTGTACACGTATTTTTTCTTTTTGTTACCACTTTGGGACCCTTTTCGGCATAAACACCGACCTCGTCGGGATCAGTATTCATTTCTGAGGTCCTGGTTAAGGTTTGGGTTAGGGTTTGAGTTAAGCTGTCTGCAATGAATGGAAGTCAATGCAATGTCCTAACAAGGATAACTGTGCAAACTTGTGTGTGTGCATTCAAGCGTGCATTTACACTCAACCAGACTTGTCTCATCAATGACAAGTAATTTGTCAGAGCAGAGACAACCATCTTATTGAACATGTTGCTGCATATTTATTCTGTTTGCTTGTCGCCTTTAGTTGTGTGAAGTGCTTTGACTGCTAGTTGTCCATTAGTTTAATGATACACGTGGTTGCAGGCTTGAAAACTGTACACACAGCATGTTTTTGAAGTATTGTTTTCACCTAATTACAGCTTCCCTGCACATCAAAACAAAAGGTGGTAATCTACTGTCATTATGATAAAAGAATGTTTTGTTTTAGTCCATCTGAGCTTGCACAAATATAACCCAGTGCTGAACTGGGGTGTGTTTTCCAATGTGTGTTTCACAACAGTCTGTGTGACACAAGGAGTGTCAAAGGTGAACACCCTCCCACAACCGGTTTCCTGTTTAGGCCCCTGTGATGGAATACTGTATCACAGCCAGCTCACCAGCCGGCCTGCCTGTGGACTGCTCAGCTTACGTTTGATTGGCGGCCTGGCAGACACAGAGACAGGCAGCAAAACGGGCTACAAGCAGTCAGCACACCAGCCAGTGACTCAACCGGCATCAAACCTGCAGATCAGTTAGTTGGCCGCTCAAGTGGATCAGTTACAGCCGCAGGACGCCTCGCCCATACAGTGCAGCATTATGCATTCATACAAATGAAGACGTATGCTGGAGCCCAGACTTACGCAGCCATGGTTCACTCCAGCTGTTTGACTCTTCACACGGCTTTTTGGATTTGGATTTGTTATGACTCACGGTGATGACAACAGTGTGCTTGTCTGTGCACGTTTAGGGTTTTATCTTATATGCAGCACGCTGTTGTAGTGAGACTCCATCACAGAGTATTGTAGATATCATGGAGGCTCCTGAACAGGCTATAAATATCCTCATGCTTCAAGTGGTTGGAGTATCTGGAGATACTGCTGTAGGGCTTCTTCATTGTATTGTACAAGATCACGTGCAGCCTTTCAACCCACAGTCGTTCACATTCTTCTGCTTGATGCGTAAAAACCCATCAGCGGCCACAGTGCTGACATTTTAGAAATGTGCATGTAGGAAATACATACTCACATTTACATCTGGATTTACAGAGATGTAAAGAGACTATTTTAGTCTTGCTCTTGTTCTGTAGAAGTTCATCTTCCCTGACACTGAGTGTGTAGTTGCTGTATTTACATGCAACCAGTGCTTCAAATGTCAGGTTGACTTTCAAGAGAAGAGTGTTTTGTAGTGTTGTTCATTGCATGCAGATACTGTTCTATTTTTCACAAACGATGTCAGTCATAAATATTAATGTCTTTAATGAGGTGCATATGTTAAAGTGCCGTATAGTCTTACAAAGGGGAGAGTATCAAGTTGTATTGAGCTGTTTAACACAGCAGTGTGTTTATTAACTGATCCCTGAGCAGGTTTTGCTGGCTTAACTGGAATCAGCATTGATCCCATATAAACAAAAGGTGTAACTGCATTTCACACCAGTCTTTCACAGCGTATCCTTTACCTCAGTGTAGAGCACACCTAATGTGATGGTGGTTTGATATTATTTTGGTCAGTGAAGTGTGAAAGTGGTGATGATTTATCCTGAGAGACGGAGCCGAGCTTTGAGACAGAGAAGAAGTGAAAATGTGTCACTTTACAAAAGGCAATCACTAAAGAAGCTGTTGCACATGTAGCGAAATCCACAACCCATTGTTAATGACTTACTAGGATTGATAAAGGTGTGTCATTAATAAAGCTCCATAAGCAACTTTGTAATATGCCATCAAGTCTGCAGGTATTAAGATTGGAAAGCCATTAACACAGTGGATTTTGGCGATGGTGTTGACCTGCCTTCTTCCACGAGGTAAGGGGGCAAACAGGCCATGGGAGGGTCCTTCCTGATTAATTAAAAGAGACAAAGCAAGCAGTAAAGGTGGAGGATATAGAGACCCTTCACATCAATGTGGGGTCACAATATGGCAAGTACAAGAGTTCCTTTTATTCGTGCTTAATGGTTTATTCACAACATAATATGAAAATCTTAAAGGAGTTATTTGTAATTTTTGCTATTGCTATATAGCTAACGTTAGCATTAACAGCTGTTTACTTACCTGTCTTGGTAAGATCTCATCGTGCTTGCGATACAATTGTAAGTGACAAACCCACAAAGAAATATGACAGAAAAGAAATGGAAGGAAAGTATTAGCTTCTTTTAGCTAATTGTTTTTTTTTTTTTAACAGCAATCTCTGCTCTTATTACAGCTCTGATAAACACACTGTACGCCATCTGCTCAGCCCCAGATGACAGAAAGACAAAGTTAGAGACCAGCTGGTGAACATAGTGGAGCATTTAGTAGCTAAAGAGCCACATTTTTTTCCCTGGGGAGTCGGTGAAGACCTAAATAGATCAAAACGGAGAGTAGATATTGGACTTATTTTTGTCAGGTGGTCAGACGACTCCAGATGAATGCTAATGTTGCTCTGTGACTGCTGGATGCTAAAATGTTCACCTTTCAGTGTAAGATGATAATATGCCATTGTTTACATCTTATTCCACTGCTGCCAAGTGGCCAAAAAATCAGTGAATGCAGCTTTAAATAAATAGTTTATTAAGCATTGATAAAGAAGTGGTGCCATAAACATTTTAATTACTTGATTTACTTTTTTTTTTTACTGCTAAAATCCTCCTACTATATGATTTTATATACTTTGTCCAGTCAAATGTAAACATCCAAAGATTGAGAAAGAAAATTGTCATTAAGCCGACAGACAAAGCACAATGGTCTGATTGTACGAGAAAATCAGCTGTGTATGACTTAGTATTGGTAACTTGTAAAAACCTCAGCTGTGCACCCCCACCCCCAAAACACACACGCCCTGTCCACACGTGCACATGTCAGTGTGCGAGTGTGACCCTGGATAAACAAAGGAAGAGAAAACGGGGACAACTGCTGTGTGCTCTTCTATTATTGTAGCCATACCTACCTGTCTGCACTGTTTGGAAGTATCTGTCAGACGCTGTGAAAAACAACCAGCAGTCATTCCATTCAGTTGTAGTGCTCAACCTACAGCCCCCTCCCCGCCCCGCTCAGCCTGGGGGGAAAGTACGCAAGACATCGATGCTCTGACAACAGATGAGCAGTCCTATACGTGCAGCAGCTCGTCCTGCTGTGTCAAGTAGCAACAAGGTGGGGAGCATGGCAGTTTGTTGCAAACGCACATTCAAAAAACCGAGGTTGTTCAGAGGCAAAGGGGAGCGAGCGCCAAGCCGTCTCTCGAGGAAATGTGGATGCTGCCGTTTTGGTTTGTGTCAACAGGCAAGGACTCTGCGGTGTGTGTTTCAAAGGATGCATCTCTATGAAATCTGCTGTATTTTTTTTTTTCTCTGCGAGCTAAAATTCAAATAGCAGGTGCAAAGCAGCTGTGAGGTGCTGCTGCTTTGGAGCGGTGTGCACCATAAACATAAGAGTATAGTTTTTACATTGTGAGGCTGTTCTTAAGTATGCTTTGTGTGTTATTCTGAGAAAAAAAGTGCCTTGATGAATTTTGAATGAGGCTGCGCCGCTCAGTTTGTCAAAAACAGTGAGAAACTCGCCAAAGAAGTGGTAAATCTCAATTCAGCATGAATCCCAGGATGGGGATGGAGTGATAAAAGCAGCGAATCACTGTGATCTGTATGCATGCCCAAACCTGAACTGATCCCCTCTGCTGTTTGAACCCCACTGAGCCCAGAGGAAGCAGGTTCTTATCAGGGAGGAGGACAGGAAGACACAGAGAGTGGGGGTTGGTCGGCAGCATGGCACTCTGCAGATTTTCACTTAATATCAGTTTACTCTGTGAAGTTTACACAGCTATAACTGTAAGTGATGCTTCACTTCTCTGATGTAACAATAAGGTCATGATTGTTTTGCATACAGTTTGTGTTGTTCACATATATACTTTCTTCATACTTTCTTAGACTATCATTTTCACTACATTTAAATCTTAGGTATTTGTTATAACAGCTGTATAATGTCTTTTTGTGGCCCTGAAACGAGTTTTCTTACCTCTGAGAAAAAACTCACATGAGGTCTAATGAAATATGCTTTTGAGTCGTGTTATGGGAACAACAGGTTCCAGAGTTTGACCCACACAAAGGACTAAAAGTCAAGATATGTCAGCTTGACCATTGTGTTTATAATCTGTCTCTTGTGAGTCCCCCAGTTTAATGAAAATGCTATGCTAAATTTATGCACTGCCCCTTTTATTATGCTTGTTCCTCTCTAGTGAAAGATCTGAAGGATCATCTGAAGTCTATCTCTCATTCTTACTTACTGTCATACTGTGTAGTTTTGCAGATGCTAGATATTCAGTGCAGTAAAAAAGAAGCAGTACTTTGCATTGCAACACACCAACACATGCACAGGACAATCACTGAAAAGAGCATCTTTATGTCTCTGCATGTAATAATTATCCATGAATGATCAAGCGTGAAACAGAATAAGTGGAAAGAAATCAGGTGGTTGAGGGAAATCAGCTGCCATAAGTAAATAATGTGTTTCTTTGATCATTTCATTCATAGATATTTTCATATCTCTTTTAGAAGGTGGTAGGATGAACATGATCTCCACCAGCATCCCTCACCAGTAGCTGGGCAGCATGGCTTCTGCTCCTCCTTGCGGAGAGGACACCGGCAGCTCATTAGCACTGCGCTGGAGGCTAACACCAACATAGATATACATCACGCAGGACGCTGACTTCAAACTCAGTCGAAGCAGGCTGAGCTGCACTCCACAGGCCTGGTTGGTTAAAACATCTGTATGAACTGCTTTGAAAACATGACTCGTGCCAGAGCAGCACATGTCCAGGAGAGCGACATCACCGCAGCCTAACGACATCTGGACTGAGACCTTGGACCATGATCTGTCTCTGAGTGGTCGCTTTGGTGGCAGAGCTGGACTGTGCAGCTCTTCCACACTTAGACAAACCTGGACTCTGAGCCATGTCTCTTCTCTCAGCTCTGAGCATCGTCTGTGGATTGATGCTCCATGTTTCACTGAGTGCACTCAACCCTCACTACTGTGTCCCACGAAAGACTGTCCCTTACCAGAGTAAGTCACAAATTCTCATACTCCTGCTGTGTTGTAACAGTATTTCCACCCCTGGGCTGGTCCAGTGAATACCAGATTTTGTAGCAGTTTAAGAATGCATTTGAATATTTTAACCATGATATACGAACAAGTGCTACAGCTTTAACTGCTTGGATTTTATGCTGGTTTGGAAATGCTCATTAAATTTAATGAATTTGCTTTTTTTTTTTTTTTTTGCTGTGGGAGCTTTTTTTTTTTCCAACTGTACAGCAGCTAAATGCAGCGTAGTGATGCAGATGTTCTCCTGTTTAGATGAGCTGAAGTTGTTCAGAGAAGAGGGGATCTCTAACTACTCCACAATGTTAATGAGAGATGACCTTGGGGTGCTGCTGCTGGGGGCCCGAGAGGCCGTATATGCTCTGGACATCAACAACATCTCTGTCAGAAAGTCAGAGGTAAGAAGATGTGAAGAGACTCACTGAGAGCAATCTGTTTACAAAATGTTAACAGTTTGGCAATCTGTTCTGATCAGGGGTGTGGTGTTTGAAGCTGATTTAAAATAACTGATGATGATATAAGATATAATAACTGATGAAACTCACGTGTCTGCAAAGCTCTTATATATTAACCTGAAAATGCTATTTTGCTCAGTGAAGCTAAAAATAAAACATCTTTTGAACTTTTATGATATTTTACCGCAGTGATGAAACTGTTTCATAAAATAATCATTAAGACTGACTTGACTGCCTGATCCTAGATTATATCAGTGATCCCCAGTGCCCCCCCCCCAGGTTTTTATGGCATGACCCCTTAAAATTAAGCCATGTCTATTTGTGACCCCACATCTCAGGTTACAGTGATATGGTTGTGAGTTACGGGCAGTTTTTTTTCACTCAGTATGACTGATGTGAAGGTTTTTTTAAGAGTCAGAAAAAGCAAACATTTGAAATAGGTTAAAACAAATACATAGTTTCATGTTACAGCAGTAAATATATTTGCATTCTCATACCTCTAATCACTTCCTGACCCCCTGAGATTCATCTCAGTCCTGACCCCCTGGATTTGAGAACCACAGGTTTGTATCATATAAAACACAGCCTCTTATTACTGTCTTTTACTATTTGGAGACATTTCTTTACATCTGTAGAAATTTTGCAGAAATCAGTTGATGAGTTGTTGAACTCTTCAGCAGTCTGTTGGTTCATAATTATAGCTGCACAGCTAACAGTCACAACTGAAGAGGGACTGGTTTCCCAGCTTACAGGTACTGTGTAAACAGGCTGCAGCTCCTCTGTCAGGCTGTTGGGTTGCGCCACCATTCTTGCGTGCTTTGACAAGACACTTTCCCTATGTTGATGCAGGTGTATTGGCGAGTTACCGAGGAGAAGCAGAGGGAGTGCACGTACAAAGGAAAACATGCCGAGGTTTGTGTAATGTCTTTCAAAACAGAGCTCACATACGGTAACTTTTATCCTCGGGCGAGGATACAGCCTTTAAGGATGACTGTTGAGTGGAAGCAGTTTACTCCCACATACAATCTATCTCTCTGTACATTTGTAAATCATTTATATGGGAGTGTTTTTTTTCTTCCTTTTTAAGTCTATACACAGAATACACTTTGAAGTGCTTTGCTTACAGCTTCGTACTGAGAGCCCAAATAAAGGCATGAGTAGAAAATGCTTGTGTACAGCCTTGACCTTTTGGTCACCAGCTCAACTTCAGGCACCCTGTGCAGTCAGTAAATGTATGTGGCATGTTTGTATTTTTGCGGCTGAACTAACAGAGCTCTGACCTTGGCATGCTCTCTGCTGGATCTTGTTGCAGGTGGAATGCCGTAACTACATTCGAACCCTGCACAGAGTGAATGACACTGCAATGTATGTGTGTGGCACGAACGCTTTTAGCCCCACCTGTGATTATATGGTAAGTACAGAATATGAGGTTAGTTTAGAGCATCTTACAAACTGTTTTCTGTGGGCAGGACCTTTTGTCCTTTTCCCTTTTACTTTGATGAAAGACTCTCTATCGGGTTCATCAGTTGGCAATATTCTGTATTGTTTTTTTATTGTCAGCAAATACCATGAAAAGATCAAAAGCAACAATGTGTTAGTCCATCTTAACTTTTAAAAAAAAATGTCTCAAAAATATAGTCTCATTTTTTAAAAGAAGGCTCTGTGATTTTATAAAACACTTGTGCACTGTAGTTTTTACCAAACTTTACTCAAACAGAAGCAAATATTGCATTCGTTGGGGACTATTTAAAGCTGCAGATTAATACCCATCTGGCGCTTTAGTGAGTATTTCAGGCGGTAGGACTGTGTGTGTGTGGGAGTCAAGATAAACTGCAGTGTCCATATTCATGGTAATGAAGGAACATATCACCCAGTGCAATGATGCGGCTCAATGTGTTTTTAATAGTTTTTGTACAACAGGATGAACTGTCTGTGTTAGGATACACAGACAGTTCAAGTGCCAGTTAGTAGCATCATTTGATTGTTTTTAGTTCTCATGGGATTTGTTGACAAAAAGAAAAATGTAGAACATCACCTGAGTTATTCTTTTAAGCCATGCGGCAAAAATTGCAGTCAGTGTTCAAGTCATTAGACAAAGGTTTTATGTTGCAGTTCCTTTAATGGCCGTTATGGCTATTCAATTATTAGAGTCAACACATTGTCTCCTTTTTCTAAAGTGTGTCTTGGTTGTGATTCAAAAAGCAGTTTAAGCCCATCCCTTCATAATGTCGGTGTTTGCTTATTTATTGTCTTTGTTGGGTTTTGATTGTTCGACACCACACAGTAGCTCATGAATGCAGTTTATTTTGGCAGGGAACTCAAATCTCAGAGGGCTGCGCTCCCTTGAAAGCATCATCATGGAGAGTTAAATGGTTCTTATGTGTAACTGCAGAACCACAAAACAATAATGTGAATTTGATTTAACAAAAAAAAAAAAGAAAAAGTAAAAGCAAACCTGGTGTTCATTTCTTTCTAAAGTAGGTTTCTTGAAATATATCCCTCTGACAAACATGTAAAACAATGGCTGAGTCAAAGGTTGGTAATCATTGTAAAAACTTTTATATATCTTTTGTTGACTTTAGAAAATGGTGCGTAATAATGTCAATATATGCAAGTTATGGTTAATGGGCTAAACATTAATCATGATAAGATATAACTGGAATCTCAGTACTTTGTCTGAATAAAATGACTCAGTTTTTCTTTCTTTTCCCTCCTTCAACAAGTTTTTCTTTCTTTCCTCTCTCTCTCCCTTTGTTTCCGACAGACGTTTGCTAATGGACAGCTGAGGCTGCAGGGAAAGCAGGAGGAGGGAAAGGGGAAGTGTCCTTTTGATCCCTTTCAGAGATACTCCTCCCTCATGGTTGGTGAGTGTCTGAGTCAGGTTTTCTGCCAGAGGGAATGAAGCACAGAATAAAGCTCAACGCTCGAAGGGCACCAACAGAAAAGATGAGAGTATGATAAGTGTATAGAGATTAGACAAGCCACAAGACCGGGTTATAAATGTGACCTAGTATCTTTTACTGCTGCTACCTGCTCCTTTAACAGTTGCACTAAAGCAGAGTCAGTTCAGTTCATTAGTTGGCATATAAATGTGATATTGTTCCAACTCAATATGAATAATTGATTTCCAGGAATTTTTCCTCAACCCTTGTTCCTGTCCAACAGGAAATGACCTGTATTCTGCTACATCCATCAACTTCTTGGGCTCTGAGCCTGTGGTTCTGCGCAGTTCAAACTTGGCTCTCCGCACTGAGTTTAAGAGCTCCTGGCTCAGTGGTGAGTTCCTCTGCTGCTGCTGCTGCTGCAAAAAAGGCCATTTAAAGTTTTATATGATGATGTGCATGGTTAAGAGGAAAGTGACTGCGGCAGCAGTACTAATGCATGATGCGGTTAATGATATGTGTTGATATCTGACTTTTCTCTCATATCAAGTACTGATTTCACGTTTTGTGGTTTCAGAGCCAAACTTTGTCTACATGGACTTTGTGAGTGAGAGTTTTGACAGTCCCGATGGTGATGATGATAAAGTGTACTTGTTCTTCAGCGAGAACGCCATGGAGTACGATTTCTACAGCAAAGTTGCAGTATCTCGAGTGGCCCGTGTCTGCAAGGTATAAAAACATAGAGAATAAAAACTAATAATCTATTCAAGATCTTTGGCATCTTCATGGAGCCTCGTCTGACACATGTCTGGTTGTCGTGGTTAAAGCGAATATGTGCACATGACAGAGTGCTCTGTCTCTGTGTTTAGGGGGATATGGGCGGACAGCGGACGCTGCAGAGGAAATGGACGTCGTTCCTGAAAGCTCGTCTGGATTGTTCCCTCCCTGAACCCAGCCTGCCCCCCATTGTCCAGGATGTCTTCCTGCTTAAGCACAAGGACTGGAGGAATAGTGTCTTCTACGCTGTCTTCACCCCGCAGTCGTGAGTATTTACAGTCAAATCCTGTGGTTTTATGGCTCAGGGTGGGTGTTGACATAGGATAATCTAGGACGTATGCAGAGCAGTCAGTTAGGAGGAACAACAAAGGTGTCTATATTCACACAAAATTATGAGGTATTGCGTTTGTTTCATTGTGTTGATTGTAATATAAGGTATTAAGCCGTTAATACTTTAACTGGACCGATGTGTGATTTATTTATTCCATATGTAAAAAGTATTCTCCAGTCATACAAATAAAACAGAAACGTATCAGTTCGTTTGACTGAATGTGTTTGGACTTGGTGTTTCCAGGAGCCTGTCCCAGGTATCAGCAGTGTGTGCATACAGCGTGTCTGCCATTAGAGATATTTTCAGCGAGGGAAAGTTCAAGACACCCGTTGCTGTGGAGACATCCCATGTGAAGTGGGTGATGTACACTGGAGAAGTGCCGGTCCCCAGACCAGGAGCGGTGAGTGCACCGCCAGAAATTTTCGCTGCGTACAAGGCAAATCCCCAAAACCCACAATTGTAAATGGAGGTTTTGTGTTGCAGTGCATCAATAATGTGGCTCGTAAAATGGGGATGAATCGCTCTCTGGACCTTCCTGACAAAACCCTCCAGTTCATCAGAGACCGTCCCCTCATGGATGACGCTGTTCGTCCAATAAGAGGAGAGCCGCTGCTGGTCAAGAAAGGAGCTTTGATGACTCGGATCGTAGTGGACAGTGTGCCGGCGCTGGACGGACAGAGATACGCCGTCATGTTCACTGGCACTGGTAAACTATAGGATATGTAGCATATATAGAAAAGTAGATTTTGTCAAGATTCAGGGAGAACTGAACTGATGTTGGAGTTATCAGAAAATTAGCATCTTTCTTAGCTTACTTTTCTGTTTGAATATTCTGGTTGATTAAACTTAAAGCCCCTGAAAATTTTAGTAGTTCTCTGTGACATCAAATTTTAATGACTGAGGGAGCATCAATCAAAGTTAAAGTTTGGAAAAAAATATCCTAAATTATTACTTTTTAAGAGTTTAAGATAAAAAATGTCAGCTAATCTTCTTCATCGGGACTGTGTGGGTGTGGTTTGATTGACAATGCTGGCGTCATAAGAAATTCCAAATCACCTTTTTCCAGGTGAGCCCCACCCACTGCAAACCAGTGACAAAAGAAATGAAAAAATACAGAAATGCAGAAAACTCTTGTGTGAAATTCCAAAATTTACTGTGGTAATGTAGGAGCCCATAGTTCACAGTAAGAATCTGCAATTAAGAAAGTTTTCAGGGCTTTAAAGCAGGATTATGTAACTTCTGAAAGAAGAAATAATACATTCTTCCTCTCCGGCATGAAAAATTGAGTCGATAAGAAATAAAATGCAATTTTTAATTCAGCAGTTTTACAGCTACAACCTGACTTGGTCTGATCAGTAGCTTATAGCAGCTGTTGTCAGGAGACCTTTGATTGATATATTGTAGGTGTAACAGACATCAATGAGACAGATCAGCAGTTCACTCAGGATTATTCTCTCTACTTACAATATGTTTCCGTTATTGTCATGTCTTATAAAACATTTGTTCAATCAATACCTTTTTCATTTGCAGGCTGATAGAGACGCAGTGATTTGATATGAATAGTGACAGGATACATCAAAGCTGTGATCTTGGTTAAAACTTGCGTGGTTAATGATTTTTATATAATTACTAAATGTCATTGGTATTTACTGTCTCCTGATAGACAATGGTTATATTCAGAAGGCCGTCAACTACGACGGAGAAATGTTCATAATTGAGGAGATTCAACTGTTTGAAAACCCAGAGCCTATCACCATCCTGCGCCTCTCATCGAGCAAGGTAACTCAATACAGGTCCAAGATGGTTCAATAAAGTTTGTTAGCTCATCATCATCATCATCATCATCATCATCATCATCACAGGTTATGGTCATTTACTGCTACTGCTACTTTACTTGGTAAATATTACATAACAAGCTTGAGTCTAAATTTGAATATGTCGTCACTTAGAGACTGTAGAGAGGATGTAAAGGTGAAACACTTCAGCTGGTTAATTTTTGTGTGTGTGTGTGTGTGTGTGTGTGTGTGTGTGTGTGTGTGTGTGTGTGTGTGTGTGTAAACATAGGGCCAGCTGTATGCAGGTTCAGAGTTTGGTGCTATCCAGATGCCAGTCAGTAACTGCAGCCGCTATGACACCTGTGTGGACTGCATCCTGGCCAGGGATCCTTACTGTGCCTGGGACTTCTCCACTGAGCAGTGCTCCTCAGTCCACAGCGTACCCCCCTCCTCAAATACTGCAATGCAGAGTCTGAAGGAGGGTGACGTTTCACGGTGTCCTCAGCCAGGTACATTCCCTTACAGTGCATTGTTCACATGCATTACTAGGAAGACTTTTTGTATGAACCAGTGTACCAGCAGTTGTATCTATTAGAAAGCATTGAAACCAACCGTGTGTTGGTGTGTGTTTTTAGATCCAGTCCCAGCTGTGGACTTCACCCTCGTCCCAGAGAACAACATCCAGCTGCCTTGCCAGCTTCACTCCAACTTGGCAGAGGTCCACTGGCGTTTCTCTGACCAAACACTTCACTCCAACCACAAATACTACATCTACAGCGGAGGCCTCCTCATCCTGAGTGCCTCTGAGTCGGATGCTGGCTTTTACACCTGTGACTCAGTAGAGCTGATAAATGGCAAAACATACAACCGAACTGTGGCGGTTTATCGTTTGCAGCTCTACTCTGGTCCGGCGGTGGGGGACAGCACCACTCCAGGCAATGAGGTGGCAAATTCCTCCGACTCTGTTCACACTGTGAATACAGCTGCACCAGGTCCGGTGCCAGATGAGGGTAATGAGGACCCATCCCACGAGTCTCAAAGCGACACTGGCAGGGTGACTTGCTTAGAGGTGGCTGTGGCTCTGCTTTCGCTGCTTTGTTTCTCCCTGATGGGGGTCATATTTTGGATCTGGTTTCGAGGAGGCTGGGAATGCTTCAAGTTTGCACAGAGCGCCAGTGAAAGCGAGGGGAAAAGGCAGTCAGGCGAATACATGCACATCCAGAACAGAACTTCAGAGATAAAGCTCCTGGGGCCTGAGGCGGGGAGACCTTGCAGTGCCAATAATAATCACTCTGCTGTTGACTTCAAAGGGAACGGGGAGCACCACTTCACACCTATGGCCAACATTTCAAGTCTGGATGGTCTGGGATACATAAATGATGAGTCAGAGATTTAACTTTGCTGAGGTATAGAGTAGCACAGTCCGAGGCCAACGAAACTGCACTAATCATCTTTCTATAGGTGCACTTCCAACACAAAACAGTTCTCCGAAAAGATTTTCACATTATAAATTCTTTTGACTGGTGTCCTGTTTCTCCTCGCCAGTTTCCTTCACTGTCATTTCTGTACTCTAACCGGGCAGCTGATGTTCAGTTAAAAGACTTTTTCTGGTGGAATTTTCACTCCAGGAAACTGCTGAAAAGACTTTTTTTTTTTTTTATATGTGTATTTTTTTTGTATAATGATAAATTGTGAATAACTTTGTGTAATATATTGTGTACAGCCAAGACCTTTTTTTTCAACTATTTATTTGTTGTAAAGACGTTTTTATTTCATCTTTAAACACTTGTAATCTACAAAAAGTCTTGTATATATGGTCAACAACGGTGAACCAGTAGCAAACATTTTGACCTCTAATTTCAAGCCACATTTCATTTTATGGATAGTACTGTTTATTTAAGACAACATTGATCAGTCGGAGTGTACCATCACTCTTTGGCTGTTAATGATTGATGAGTACTCTGTGTACTACTCCTTTATTGGTGGCTGTTTAAAAAAAAAAAAGACCTACAGATGTACCTTTGTATTTAAGCATTCAAATGACACTCACAGGTGAAACAGAGTGAACGTCATACCTCCATCTTTCAAAACACAAAAATAATAATAAGATTATCTCACTCCAGTAAATGTTATATCATCATTGAGAGTGTTGTAGTGTAACGAGGGTTGTTTTTGGGTACACAGTTATATTTTAGATTCCAGGCATACACTGTAGTCTCCCTTTGGGAAAAGACAACGTGTCATTGGGATGTACAGGTGTGGGTGTAACTTTCTGGCAGTGGCAGTCAACTCAGAGACACAACACGGATAAGAACAAGTGTCAAACTTTCGGAAAATGCAGTCCTTGTTCATATGAAAATAAACTTTATTGGGAGTTTGACGCGCATGTAGCTGTCAGTAATGATTACCTTCCCTCACACACAGTGGAGTGATGTATTTGAAAGCGATGCTGCTGCGAAGTTTGACTGACGCGCTTCTTGTCTTGATTTTTCGAACAGATACTCCTGTGGATTGTGTGGCGGGATAATATCAACGAAAAACCTGCACTGACTCCACGGTTATCTCAGACCTGTTTGTTGTCTGTTGAAGAAGACTCTGAGACCAAACCAAATTACAGGAATGTAGTGTGAATCTGCTCTGTGTTTTTCACACTGTCATTAACAGCAGCGCTCAGAGCCACCTCATGTTTCACCTCCAACAAGTACTGTAGAGATGAAAGGCCTGAAGTGCGTCTCTTCTCAATTATTCAACAGTGCAGTATAAGATAGTTGTCATGAACTGAATTAAGGATATATATTGATCGTATCAGGTGATAAATTAATAAAATATTGCCTGTGCAGTTTTTAAAAAAGTGCTTTCATGCTTAGACATATTTACACCAGGGAATTAAGACGATCCACTTTAGCTATTTTTTTTTTAGTGTAGTTGTTTATAAGTTTCAGAGAGCACTGTCTTAGATTTTTTATTTTTTTAGCTTCCCTCTCTCCTGTTCGTCAGTCTTCCTTTTCCTCCCAAGATTTAATGAGGTTTCCCCTCTTACTTTTATTTCTGGCTGTCTCTCTCAGTTCCTCTATGATGCTCACAGCCTTTTTTTAACCCACACTTGGTTTCTTTGAACATTTCTGACTTGCATTTCTGAATAAATCAATATGACAACAGCATCTCGCTGCTAGGGTGAACAACTCTACACTGAGGATGAGGGATACAGAGATTTTATTTAATTTTTTTTGTACACACAGCAAAAATGGCCACTAACAGGGACAACCAAGAGCACACATGGTCCCAGTGGGTGACAGCTGTTAGTCTCTGCACTGTATTGTTCCTCTTAACAGTGTTTGAAGGTTAAAGATATCTAATGTCATAGACTATAGTTCAGTTGATATAAAAACAAAAACCAATCACCAACATAGTATTTATCTTTTCACACAGCAGCATCGTTTCTGTGTTAAAAGACTGCAAAAAATAAAATAACCTATAAAACAATGGTTCCTAACCTGTGGGCCGGGTCCCACTGGTGGGCCACGAAGGTATTGCAAGAGGGCTGACAAATCATTTGTGAAAAGATATAACTATACAAAAAAAAAAAAAATGTATATATAATAAATGTTTTTAAGTGTTTTAAAAAGAAATGATCTTTAAAAGCATTAAAAATGTTGAGAAACTTCTTTCATAGTTTTTTCTCTTGTATTCAGGCCCATCATTGTGATTGTGAGTCAATGATGGGAACTTTTATGTTGTTGCCGGCCGGACCACATCATTTACTTGTTTGCTATCTCAGTCTGGTTGCGCACTAAAAGATTACATCCATGGCAAAAACTGGAATGTCAAAATGGATAGCAGGTTAGCAACAGGAAGAAAGAAAGAGAGTCAAGAGACAGATGTTGAATCGACAAGTGACCAAACAAAAAAAGAAAACTGAACTTCCCCTGCTTTAATTATTCGGCCTTCATATTGTTCCGGGGCCAACATTTTTGAGATTTTCAAGTGCACCATGAGGTAGAAAAGGTTGGAAACCACTATTAGAGTTCATAAATAGTTCAACTCAGACCTAACCTACATCACCAGCTGGTTATCAGACGTTAAACCATTGCAATTTCTCACACATTCAACTAGGACATACAGACACAATGAGAGTAAGAATATTTATTGTTGTTGCAATATTTAAAGGTCATTTTAACATATCTGTTATATTTTGTCACTTATCAAATAACAGAAAGAAAAAAAAATCAAAATACTGAATTTGGCAGTTGGCCATGAAGGACACTTTTGTAACAAGAAAAGAAAAATAAATTGTCAAACTATGAGCCAGGCACCTTTTTCTTCCAGTTGGTGCTTCATACAGGCTTTGATTGGATTGAGGCAAAACAAAAGTGAGCTGCTATATTACCTGCATAAAAAAGCCACATTCATTGGTTTTAATCAGATCATTCACTCTGAAATTTGTTGGAATGACAGAAAATTAGTCAATATCCAGTATCAGACTACACTTAAACAGACTGTGAGTACATTTGCATGCAAGATTTCACCTTACTGCAGATCCATCTACAGATGTTTTTTTGAGAGATGTGTGTGTCTGTTTATGTTGGTTACATGAGGTCAGAATATTTGAAATAATAAAAAAAAAATCCTATTTAACCCCACACCCATAATAAGCTGCATGCAAATACACTGCAGCCACCAAACACAAAAATTCAGTCTGTCTGGGAGAAATCGAAAGCGTCCGGAACAGTAACAACAGCTGATAAGGTGCTTTCACGGCAGGTCACTGACCACTAAAAGCAAACAGTGCAGTTTTGGAAATATAGAAACTGAGACTTGCTAAGGTGGAGTACAAACACATATCAAGCTTGGGTGTGATTTTTTTTGTTATCAAAATAAGGGAAAGAGACAAGTGTTTTGGCACATCAGTACTCAGTGAGAAATCACAAGAGGATTAGCCACCAACAACTTTTGAATTGTTTCCAAACATTGCTTCACTGAAGCATAAATCCAGTTTAACAAAAAAAAAAAAGAAAAAAAAAAGCAGCATTTGTTAAGGCGACAGTCAAGCTATTTTTTCACATGCAAAATCTGCACGCAATAGTAAGGCGCATCTCATGAAATCCCATCCAAAGCAGGCAGGCGTGGAGTTAGTGAGCAAAACAAATCAAAAATAAACTTAAGTCCTGCCAGAATACACAAAGTACACAGAAAAGAATTCCACCAGATAAAAAGCGTGCTGTTTGCAGATTCTGTTGCTGTTTGCAGATTCTGTTGTTGCAAAAGAAAAGAAAAATTCTTCAGCATACTTCAACTTCTAGCATGCAGTTCTAGTATAACACATAAAACAATCCTATCATAAATGTCCATAAGGCACACGTCCTTCACATACTGCTATCATCAAACTGTTCACACTCTTTTGCGGTTTCCAATTGCATATTTGCGAGACAGTTCATCTTCCTAAGCAAAATTTCTTCTGAGCATAAAACTGTAAATCTTTCATTCATTTCAATAAACTGTATGTAAACACAAATGAAATGGAATGGTATATTTTGAAGCTATCCCTCTAGTAGAAGTGAAGGGCTTTTAAAGAGCTTTGCTGACAAAACTCTTTGATAAAACATTTTATAGTGATCCTGTCCTCTCATTCAAAAAAAAAAAATATGCCTATGCATTTTGTCATGTAAGGCTGAAATGATATGGCACTTTCAAGTGATTTGTTGTGCACCACAGAAATGGCCAGCTATCTGTCTCCATCTAGAGGCGGTGCCTTGCTATCACCAGTGACTGTTGTCGGGATAGCTTGGCACTGCAGCAGGGTACTGGGGCAAGCTCGGGCCTTGGGCTGTCTGAGCAACAGCATTGAACCCTGCTTCCCTCACTGGTGCACTCTTCCACATCCCGGTGCTCCACTCTTCCTGAGCGCGCTCCAAACTCCCGCCACCGCCGCGATACAGTCTGTGCACCTGCCCGCGGGAAAAGAAAGAGGAAAGAAAGTGATTCACAGCGTGTATTTGTGTCTGTTCTTAAGTCTCTCAGGGCAAAAACTACATTCAACAGTGTGTGTGTGTGTGTGTGTGTGTGTGTGTGTGTGTGTGTGTGTGTGTGTGTGTCTTCAGCATATGTGTTCACTCACCTTAATGAGCACCAGTGCCATTAAAGCAGTCACCAGAGTGAAGAGCAGAGCTGTGATAAGCATCACTATAGCGGAGCCCACATTTTGGCTGAAAAACATCACTGTCGCAATCCAGCCGCTTTGATGTGTTGGTGAGAGTCAGATGGAGTAGTACGTGTTAGTGTATCATACAGTATGGAATTAGCAAAGTGAATTTAATACAAATATAATCCAAAATTACTAATGAGCAGTAAAGAAACATTAAGCAGTGAGGAAACGGATGCAGTGACAAACAGCATAATGATGATCGGTGTTACACTGACTTATAGTCACACATTGTCCTATGAGTGAACAGTGTTGTTATCACATGCAGATGTTCATTTACTGTCCTTGAACTTTACTCAGTTGGAGAAAGACTGTTTCTGGTTAAACTTACAAAAGTAAAAAGATTTTTAAAAATGCTTTTTTAAAAACAACTCTATTCCACATGGTCTCTGAATAAGAACGATGTGGCATTTTTACTCTGAGAACTTATAATATAAACACATAAATTTATAATGTGCACATAAAATAAAAATACATCAGAAAAGACATTAAAATAAAGGATATAATACAACAGCGCTGTATCATATCAAGCATTTTCTAGAACTGAATTATTAAAAATGTAACTGCAGAAATAAGAACAGCATATTTGTACAAGTGTGAATAATATTATGTAATGTTATGACTTTTCGAAAGATCACTCAAAAAAAATTGTATGATAGCGTCACACATGTTATGTGTTAAGTTTGCTCAAATTCCCCTGAATTTAGGAGCCTCAGTGTTTAGAGCTGAACTCATGTGCAACTCAAATATATTTAAAAAAAATAATAAGAAAAATAACTCATTGTTGAAAATCAATGGACATACTATCCGTAAAGAATGCTTCATCTAGTCTTAAGGTCATGGCCAAAACCTTTCATCCCCTATTTACATCCAGCATCAAGACGCTGATGGCACAGCACACCGGGCTAACAAACTCAGAAACAGACAAGATTTGTCAATCAATAGAATTAAAGATTTGCAGATTGTGTATGAGTACCCAATACGGTTATTATATTGTTAACAACCGCATCATGTGTTAACTTAATGGTTGTATTCTAGTGTTAAATCTATCTTAACTCTCTCTCTTATCATATTTTCAACAGATTCACCTGATGGATAGCACATTCTCCGGCTGACAGAAACCCTCGTGACCTGCTCTCTGGTAAAACTGGCAGGCAACGTGTACACAGTCTTCAAAGCTGGTTTGATTCAACTCACCATGTTCCCCAGCCAGAGATGCCTATAGTCTGGATGAGGGCCAAGACACACTGAAGGAAGAAGATGAAGAAGAAGGCCATGAAGTTGAACGAGCTATCGGCCCTATGAACAAGAAAAAAACCACAGAAAACAAATAAAGTTAGTGTTGCCCTATTTTTGTTGGAATGTTGCATCCGCCTACTGGTTGTCAACATGTGGGTCAAACTGACAACAAACTTACAATGAAACACGATGCATACAACTGAACAAGCCATGGAAAAAATAGAAATGTCCTCAGTAAACATGATGGGTGCATGTGCAAATCATAAAACAAGAAGCTCCATAGAAACATCATTTTTGGGCTCAAACATCAAGAGTTCAATATTTTTTTTGCTGTGTTAATAGTATTTAACTGGTCACTCATCCCACGAGACACTTTCTAAAAGCATAATAATAAGTGATCCATGCTCTTAATGTTACATAACATAAACCAGAAATCTTAAGCAAACAAAACTCAGATGTTGTGTTGTGCTGACCACATCATTATAATTGGTGACTTAAATATTAATTTTAACCACAAATCTAATGTGCTAAACGGAGCTTTCACAACATTACTGAAGCTTTTTTTCTCAGACTATCTCAGAATCCAAACACCACTGACCTACTTCTACGCCATGGTCTTCCTGTTTCTACATCACCAGTTTCATTTTCGTCAACAGAACACTTTCTGATCCAATTTTAACGTTCACATCTCACATCTGATAGAGCGGCTCTTGAATCAGAGCTGCACCAGCTGAGACTGCCTGCTTCACTGATTTCTACATGCACACTTCAATGATCCTGCAGACACTTGGAGTGAAAATTGCACAATACTTTACTAGAACTTACTTACTACTTACTATACTTTCACCCGGCCTAGCATTAATCATTACTTGTGTAGAAATACGCTCTCTGGCAAGCTAAGTCCACCTTCTATTCTCAACGGAACAACAGAAACACCACATTTTTTGTTAACGATGAGAAGAGTAAAACCATTAAAACCACCAGCTGATTTTTGCTATTTTACACAGTTAATTTGAGTATGCTTAGTAAAATTGTTGTAGACATGTAGTCTACATCCCATTTCAGGCAACCTCTTAATTTAATTGCTAAAAAACTACTATGTAGTTTTAATAAATTGAAGTTAAAGTGGAATTTCAGATACGACTCTTGCGCATGAGATTTACCAGATGATGACTAACCTGAAAGCTTTGTAAAGTGGTCTGAACCAGCAGGTATAACTACAGGGACTGAAGAGGATGAGCCAGAGCAGGGAGAATCCAAAGTTTGTGGCACCTCCACCGCCAGCCCACCACGCAATACATCCGATCACATTTAGGCACAGAGTGCCTGAATACACTGCAGAGGAGAGAGGACAGGAGATGTGGAGAGACAAGGAGAGGAGAAGAAGGGCAGCGATTGATTTCTGAACTTAGCAATAGTACAAGGAATGCCTCTCCCTCCAAAAAAAAATGAAAAACACAAAGTTGTATAAAAATGTATGTATGTATGTAAAAGCACGTACTCATCCACAGTGTGTAGACTCTGCGCACCAACTGCTGGTGGGGTGTGGGGATTTCTTCTTCAATGTTCTGGTAAAAGCATGGCTTTATTCTCAGAAATTGAGGCAGGGGAGGAAAGTTATTAACTCGCTCTGAAACGGAAAGAAAAGTGTCATCATAAAACTATTTTACATTTGAATATTTCACATCATGTCTGAATGCACTTACAAATAGATAGATAGATAGATAGATAGATAGATAGATAGATAGATAGATAGATAGATAGATAGATACGTTTTAAATGACAAACCTGCCATTTTGAAATCCCAGGTCTCCCCTGGATAATAGGAGTACACAGAAATCGAAATCAGCAGTTTACAGTCATACAGGCAAAAACAACTTTAACCAATTTGCATATCTTTTTCTAAAATGTTGTTCTGATTACTTGTGCTTGTTTGGTTGCTGTTGTTTAGTTTTCTTTTTAACTATGCCTATGTGAAGTTACGCTAACTTTATGTGTGATATTATACAGTAGATAGTAGCTAAAGCGTGTTGTTGGGCAGCCAACAGTCCGTTGGGAGCATACACTAGCTTACTGTCTCTTTATCTTACGTCGTTGCTTCATTTGACTGACTGATTAGCAGTTGACAAGAAGTGAAAGACCGTTACGGATTACAAGTCCACAAAAAGCATAATATAGATTAGGCAATATTATCAAGATAACGTTTACCTCTTCACGTTTCCGTCGACAACTGCAGGGGTCTGGGACTCATTCGGGATGCGCTTTTCCGACACCGATCAGACACACTGCGGCTGCGCTGCACCGTTGCGCTTGTAGTTCCAAACTGTTTACATTCAACATGCTCGGGGGCCAGAAGAACTACAAGTCCCAGGATTCGTGTGAGCGGTAAACGGGGGACGCGTGATTCCAACATGACACCCGTTCGCATGAATCCCACCCATAGGCTGTATATCCCACCCATGCAATTACGGACTACATCAAGTCTTCAATCTGTAAACAGTTCATAGCATGCCCTTATCATTTTAGAGCAGAGCAGTGAAACTCTTATTAAACTTATTCAGGGTAGAAGTTTCTTTCATTCTCATGGATGTTTGACAACTTTCTCGCTGATATCAATAAAACTGTGGTGCTGAGAGTGAGCGACAAAAATGTTTTAGTCTTTGAAAATGTGTAAAAGTATAAATATATATAAATATACATATATATATAATGTATTAGGGAATATCATGCACTATGCTTAACTCATGATAACTATCGCTAAGTAAACAAACTTCCAAAGAGCACTGGCCTCATCAACCGGACTTCAGTCCGACTTCTTTCTTTCATTTCACTGTCCCACAACATGGCAACCCAGACTTCTGAAAGTCAAACACCAAGGCCAATCACAAAGCCCGAAACATCCTTCAGAAGGCGTGCCCTGTGAGCAGCCTGTGAGACACAGCTAACATCTTTCGGGTTACAGCACAGGGCATGCCGGGCGGGTGGATAATATGTTTATAACGAGAGACAAAAGATCTATTTAATTAATTTAGCTCACAGAATTTGATCTTTCTTGATAACAATTCAAGCTTCATACAATTTTTGATGCTTTATTGTCAGTACAAATATTCTGAAACGTTACAATACACAAAACACCGAGCTAAGTACAACGCGGCTCTTTAAATCAAACACCTCTGGCGGTGCTCAGTAACTTGGCGCTGACCAATCAGCGAAGGCTATTGAAGCAAGCAACACACTCCCGCCAATTCCGACTGAGGAGCGCGAGGCAGGCAGTGGGGTAAACCAAGGGAGTATGTGGGAGATACGGAAAGAGAATGCGTTATGTTTTATTTGAAATAAATTAGAATTACATGTCATTTAAATAGCAGCACAACATCTGGTTTGTTATCGGGGACATTCTCGGGTGTTTATACGAACCGTGCCATTGTTTTGAAGTTGTTTTGCCCGAGAATACTACAAACGAGAGGAGCCCGGGGTCAGTGGTTGGGATGTTGGCCGCGGAAAACCCATCTGTGGACGGACATTTGGCAGCATCGACTCCCCGCAGAAGAGGTAAAGCTAATGCCATGTCTAACAGACCTGCAAATGCTCCTAACAACCTGCCAAACGTTCACTACTATAATGTGTAGTTTGTGCAGTTCCGTTGATACTAATTGGCGAGCACAACATAATGAAAAACTTTAGTTTAAAGATAAATCAGCCCACTTCTCAACGCTCAGATGGGTAAGGCCAATAACCTCGTTTTCCCCAACGACATCACTTAATGTCTGCTATTGTCATTGTTATGAGACAAACGTTGACTGATTTAATATGAAACTCGGCCGCTAACCTTTCAAACGTTAAAGCTAGCTGTGTATAGCTAACGTGCTACCTGGTCTGGTTGCGGTTAGGGCTCAGTTTAGTTTATAGTCTGGTGTAGGGGAGATAACTTTGAGGATCAGATTATATATCAAAGGATAGGCTTATTGGGGGTAGATATACGGTTAGGTTCAGGCTAAGGTAAGTGGAAACACATCGACTGAAAAACAGACTGACTAACCCTTCGACATAACACTGGTATTGCTAATTGCTATTTCGGAAGCTTTAACGTCAGATAAACAGTAACGTCACGTTAAAGTAAGTCATGCCTCAAAATACTAATGTTTTTCAGCCACAAGTCTGTTGACTTCTCGTTAAAAGTGTATATATTTGTGGCAAACTTTGCTGCTAGCTCATAGCTACGCCCGTGGTACTTAGCAAAGTTGCTAGTTTTGTGGGGTTAGCAGTCAAGCTAGTCCTGTTAGCACCCCGTGAGGTAGTTAACGTTAGCACCAAACATAAAAGCCGGTCCCATAGGTGAACCTATACAGCTGCTCATTTGTCGTCGATCTTCCCCAAATCCAAGGTTCTTGTGGCTGTAATAAATAATGTTATAACCATTCGCCATAGTTGTTCGAAGTTTTCGGTGAGTTATTATGGTCAGGCAAGCAGCATTTGCTTGACAGCCCCTAAGGTGCGTGCCCTGCGGACTCGGCTGGGCCTAATGCAGCGACTTATATACCGGTTGGCGGGAGAGCAAACCAAACACAACCATTACATTCATTGTAATACCGTAACATTAGCACACCGACATTGCAAACTATTGTGACATTTAATGAAACATCTTGAAAAACGGTACTCTCGGGCGTTATTGCAAGTCGGTAAGAGTTTCACATTATCACGGGGTGGTGAGTATTTTACGACACACAGTACAGTAGCTGCACTGGCATGTGGTTATTTCAATAGTAAACTAACGTTACGTTGCTAAAAGCGGAGCATTAACAGAAAGAGTGGCTGAGTGGAGTTGTTAATGTGTTAAATGTGTGATCCGCATCAAGGTTGTTATAGTTATTTCAAATGAGTTATGTACTGAGATGCTTTATTTGCAGTGATGGTCGTTTGAAGTTAGTACTGCTTTTTCATCTGCCACCAAACGCTTATCAATCTCCCAGTTAGTTCAACATTTGTAAAAATTGTCATTTATGGATTTTCTTCAACCAATTTCAGTGCTGGTGCATTATTTCAGACTTGTAATATTGAAGTTAAGTATTGACATTAAGTATTGTTTTCTGATGTGCCTGTGCTTTTGTTCTTTTCAGGCATGGATTGTAAGTCAAGTAACAATGCCAACAAGAAACTTGTACAAGGTAATATCAAATAAGTTTTTATTTGTCAAGATTTTTGACACTATTGAAAGATCATGACAATAAGACATTATCTGATTCCATTGATGATATCTAGATCTAGCATGGACAGTTGATAATTTAATTATATCCCAAGTCTAATCATGTCTTACATTTACAGTGCCTATTAATGATTATTGCACCTTTGTGTATTCCTTCTGCCCTCTTGATTAATCCCCACTTTTGTGTATTTTTGATCCTCACTTTTGGTTGGTATTATATTTACATAGCGCAAGTTGAAATTATTGGACTATTAACCCTACTAATACACACAAGATTTTCACAGGTTAAGATTCAGTTATGCTTTCTGTTATATCTGTAAATATAATATTTTAATATATTAATGATATTTTATTATGTGAACAGATACAATACAGCAACTATTATGGTGATTCAGGGTGTTTATTTTATTTATTTGTTAATGTTTTTATTCTGCCTGCAGCTCGCCTCCCATTCAAGCGCCTGAACCCTGAACCTAAAGAGAACCAGCCGCCTAAACGCCCCTGTGCACATGCCTGTCCTGAACCTTCAGACAGGGAGAATGAGAATGAGTCCTCTCAACTCCCTGTGCACAGCGGACCACCCTTGGTTAATGGTCGTGGGCCCCTTGATGGCTTCCTGAGCCGAAGGTGCCCTGCAGCCTCAGATGAAAACACGGTTATAGATCTGACTGAGGACAAAACTTCTCCTGTAAAGTGCCTTGTTTCACCTGCTCCTGTGTCTCCCTGCCTCCCAAAAAAAGACAAGCATCAAGGCAAAGACAAAACTGCTTCTTCTGAGAAAACCAGCAACATTGATCCCACTCCTAAAACACACACTTTAGACTGTGTCAACGATGATGAAGTGGAAGAGGTGGAGGATAAAGATGGGAGTCAGACAGAATCTGTCTCACAACTTGACACAACACAGGATTCTGACAGTGAGCCAGAGGAGCAGGATGAGTCAGGAAACGTTTCCAGTTTGGGGAATAAGTCCATGCTGTCAGGTTCATCAGTCAGCTCCATGTCTGAAAGCTCACCGGAGAAGTCCAAGACCGATGACCCTACAACTACAGTATGCAGTATTGCTTTTTGTTTAATCCCTTTTAGGGTTGTGTAAAATTAGCCAGTTTACTATCACACACATTGAATTCATCTGTGTTTCTAAGAATTTGTTTAGTAATTCATCACACAGAAAACATTATTTCAGGGTGGTAATACAAAGTGTAGTTTTTTTGCACAATAATCTGTTATTGGTTAGAGATTTTGATTAGCATTTGCTTTCTTCTTTTAATAAAATTTGTAACATGTTAACTTGATGTTTACTCATGAAGAATACATAGCATTTGATTGATCAATTATTAATTTTTTCTCACTGATTTTATCACGCTAGGTACCTGCTATATTGACATAATAAAATACCTGTTTATTCGTACAAATACCTCTGCTGATAATGTAACACCAGCATTTTGAGGATGTTTGTAAGATCATTCAGATATATTCAGATATTTTTTTACCAGAACATTTTATTTGTTGTTTCATATTTAATACTGTGAAACACCTACAGTATTTTCGTAAAATCTCACTCTTGGATATAGAACAGTATCAATATTATTGCAATGATTCGTCCAGATATAACTTGTGCATAGAAAATATCAAGTAGGTCAGATGTCAGACAAGGATTATCAGATTTGTTTTCCCCCTTCTCCTCATAGGAGCCAAAGACCACCCCCAAGACACCAGCAGATCAGAAAAAGATCAAGAGACGCTCATTGAAGGTGAGACTTCTACTTTTCAGTTTGAAAATATGGCTTCAGACACAACCTGATTTATTATTTGTTGTATTTCTTACCCACTTCATCATCATAATCATCATCATTTATTAAAAGGGTTATTTTGCAATTATAGAGTTTACAAGAACAAGAGGACAGGCTTCGTTTGCGACAGGAGAAGGAACGGCAGAAGGAAGAGGCTAAAGCTGCAAAAGAGAAAAAGAAAGAAGAGGCTCGCAAACTAAAGGAGGAACGAGAAAGGGAAAAACGGGAGAAAAAGGAAAAAGATGAGCGAGAGAAACGAGAGAAAAAAGAGAAAGAAGAGAAAGAAAAGGCAGAGAGGTTAAAAGCAAAAGAAGAGCTTCGGAAGTCCAAGCAAGAGTGAGTAACACAAAGTTCCTACTATTCTTAAGTCAACGTTTGTCCATTTTAGATGTTTCCCGTGCCATAAGTCTGTTGGATAGAACTGGTTTAACAGATTGATTTTGGTGTGCTTAAAATTTACCTCAGGGCCAGGCTGGAAGAAAAACGGAAGAAAGAAGAGGAGAAGCGAATGAAGGAGGAAGAGAAAAGATTGAAAGAAGAGAAAGATGTAAGTTAATGTAGAAGAGTGTTGGTATGAGCTATACTAATGGGCAAAAGCTTCAGTAAACTGCCCAAGGTAAAAGCAAAAAAACTTTAGGTCACCAAAAACTGAATAATCATGTAAATGTCCTAGAAAACGGACCGTTTTCAGAGTTTAAGAAGTTGGTTAACTTACTGCTTTCTTGCAACAATAGAAGTAAATGAAGCTTTGAAAGTTATTGCAAAAAATTCAGGTGCACAAACTTTTGTTGATGACTTACAAACCCTCTGTCTGTACAAAGGCAGTGTATGTAACTAACTGTTACTACCTCTGATGCATTATTAGGACAGTACTGTAATGTAGGCAGTACTACTGCACATTCATATCAGACTGCTGAGGAAATTTAAGGGAAGCAACACATTGGTGGGAACTAATGAAAGAGTGCTGGGAGGAACACTCTGAACAATATTTCATTTAATTTCAAGTTAAGATTCCTCGTGATTTAAAAAAAAAAAAAAAAAAAAAAAAAAAAAAAAACCTTTATTTATTCTATGCTTTAATTTGTACGCTGAGACTTTTCTGTAACAATTGAAAAGACTGAGGTGACTGAAACTTTTGTGGTAGATTTGACTGAATAATTCTTGATGAATGTGTTTGTTTACAGCGTCTCAAAGCTGAGAAAGCAGAAATTACACGGTTTCTACAGAAACCCAAGATCCAGCAGGCACCAAAGGTTAGTAGGTCTCACTCTTCAGAACACCAAAATGTGATATTGGTTTCACTTGACTTGTGAAGTTGTTGCCTAAAGCTGTTATTTTAACATCTTTACGGAATAATCTACATCACCAGTTTAAAAGGTGTAATGTTTGATTGAGTTGTACATGCTCTGATCTCCTCTACTACCCCCCCCCTCCTTTTTTTTAATAAAATTTTTTAATTTAATTAAATTTTTTTTTCACAAAGGTCTCGTCCAGATGTGCACATTTCTTTAAAACTTTTCTTTTGTATGTGTTTTGGCCGTTTGTCCACATGCAAGCTGCAGATTAGGTCACTGAAAATGGACCTTTTTGTAAAACTCCAGGGGAAGATGTCCAGATGTTTTCAGTGTTAACACGTGAACAGGGATAACAGAGCTTTTGACTTCTCACACCATTGTTGTTTACCTATTGTAAATGGGTAGAGTTATATTGCCACCAATTGGTTTGGCATGCTCTTGACAGTGTGTTTTTGTGTTTTCATGTGGACAAAGATTTTAAGAATGAAAGAGGAAATACCTACATACATGTGAACTAGGCCTAAAATGGGATTCCGTATTAATAGGTACAAAGTATTATAACTGTAACTTGTTTTGTCCCCTTGCCATTTCAGACGCTCGCAGCTGCATGTGGGAAGTTTGCTCCATTTGAGATAAAAGAAAACATGGCTCTGGCACCACTGTGTCGGGTCCAGTGTGAGGACTCTGTTTTGGAGGAACTTGACCGGTGTTTGCTAAACCCTGCTGCTAACCTGAATGGACTCAAAGACTGGATCGGGCAAAAGCCCCGCTGGTCAGGGCCCACCAAGCCCAGGCAGGCGGACTCGCTCAGGTAAGACTGGAAATGGTGATGATCCTGATCTGTATACTCTGCTTACCCCATGGTTGCTTCATGTTAGTAACCTGTATTTTTATTTCTGAAGTGAGGTTCATTTTGTTTTTTCTGCATCTGATAAGTACATCACAGCATGATGCTGATTTTATTAAAAAAAAAAAAAAAGTGATTGCATTGGTAAAGAAAATACCCATTAAACTTTGTTAATCCTTTGATTAGGATTAATTTTCATCCATACAGAGCTTAATACAAGGTGGCCTCGTCAGATTGCTTGTTTTATCTAACCAACGATGCAGAACACAAAGACATTCATTTTATTATCAAAGAAAAGCCTCAAATTCTCACATCTAAGAAGCTCAAACCAGCAATGAGCACCATGGTTCCCTCATTGTCGTAGCTACCTCAGCCACATGAATTTGCTGTGTGGCACTTTCAGGGTGTGTGTGTTATTGAGTGACTGTGATTTCATATACATATAATAAAAATGCCCCAACCTGGACTGGACTGGCAAAAGCCAGAAGGAATGTTTGATACCACATGTATGCGTAAATATAGATTTGGAAAAATTATTATAAATTAAAAACTTCAGAAAAAATTTCCTCTGTCTTTATGGTTAATCATTTTTCTCTCTCCATCTCCCCATGTATACTATTTCCTCAGTGAGTGTATTGCAGTGGACAGACCTAAACCAGATGGTGTACCGGACCGTGAACGTTATGGATCCATGAAGCTTTTGCAGTTCCATGAGAACTACCGTCCAGCGTACTGGGGCACCTGGAGTAAGAAGAGTTCACACATCTCACCTCGTTGCCCCCTCAGACAAGACAAGGTAAAGCTATTTTGCAAAGTCATCTTTCTTTTCAATTTACTGAGATCCCAGCAGTCAGAAGCATTACATACTTTTTTTAATGGTAAATTAATTGTACTATATTGGCAGATGTAATGTAACACAGATCTGTATTAACCAAGAAATTAGATTATGTAGGTATGCTTTTCAATCACTTTTAAGAATTTAGCTTTGATTCAATATTTGCACTTGATCCAAAAATTGTATACCTGTAGCTTTGACGCTTACAGCTGTGGTCTCTCACCACAGGATTTGTTGGACTATGAGGTGGACAGTGATGAAGAATGGGAGGAAGAGGAGCCGGGAGAGTCCCTGTCACATAGTGAAGGGGTAAGTTTCATTGGAGGATGAACAAGTATAGGTGTTCCTTTTATTTCAAGTTTTCTGTTTGTTGTGTCGACATCAGTGCCCAGTGTCGTTATAGAGAAGAGAGATGTGGGCCACACATTAATTACAATAACAATTATTTTAAAACATAGTTTACAATCGTGCAAAAATATTGGCATTGTCCATTTTGAAGGCTTCATAATTGTTTGGAGATTGAAATGATTGCTTAAAGTATGAAATGATTTGCACCCAACATAAATGAGTCCATGTTTTTCTTTTTAAATAAGATGCTATTTGTCTGTATCACACCAAGAAAGTAGAAATGTTTTTAATGAAGTTAATATCTGAATAATCAAATCATATAAAATATTTTTGGAGTGTTTTTTCTGACTGTATCAGCAGTGTGAAAGGAAATATACTTTATTATTTTTTCTGAACTTGAGCAAGCAACAAACTTATTATTTATCTTGTGTTTTCACAACAAGGAAAGTAGTATGAAAAGAGATGATAATTGTACTTTTTAAAAGACTTTGAACTCTTGGTCATTTTCAGGAAGATGAGGAGGAAGGAGGTGAAGGTGAAGATGACGATGATGATGACGACGACGGCTTCTTTGTTCCTCACGGCTACCTTTCAGATGATGAGGGAGCACTGGAAGAGGAGGTATGATGCGAAGCTACAATATTGTCTCTTTAATCTGAAAGACAGATCTTTTAGATTTTCTTTTTTCAAAATTCTTCCCGTTTGCACCACTATTAACACGCATGTAACCTCCCAGGAGGGTGGAGACCTGGAGAAGCAGAAACTGCGTCAGAAACTGAAAGCGAGGGAGTGGGACGAGCTGATGTCTACCAAGAAGAAGATGAAGGTGCTGGAGCCCGTGGTGAGGGGCTGCGTCTGGGAAGGAGAAGGACCTGGTTTGGATCTCTTCCAGCCTTTTGCTTTGTGTCTGGTCGAGCCTTTACCCAAGGCAGACACCAGCCTCAGCCCAGAGGAGCAGTCACAGAAGTGTCAGAAAGAAGCACAATGTAAGTGTGTGTCACCTGATTCACTTTGATATTTGGATTAACATTGGGAAAACAGCCTTTAGGTAATGCACTACCAGGGAATACTAGTGCCTATTAGTGTGTCAGCCATTGGATGACTGACTGTTTGTAGTTTTTGTGGTTTGTCTGGCTCCATCAGCTTTAGTTGCCCTTATCAGCAGGCAGTACCACACATTGCCAGAAGCAATTTTATTAATATTCTGCATCTGTTAAACTGTTTTGCCAGAAGTTCTCTATATGGAAGTGAAGTGTTAGTGCTGCACTAAAGTACAGCAACACAGCACTATTGTTCCTTTTTCTTTTTTAGTGGAAGGAAACTTAAAGTAAAGTAAATTGTGTTGGTGCATTTGCCATCAGTTGCAAGAAAGATTATCATCGTTGTGTGCATGGGTTTTTTTTTTTGTTTTTTGTTTTTTCTCATCTCTAATTCCTGATTCAACAATCGCAACACCACAGTTGAATGTCTTCATTTTAAGAATTGTTACATATTTAGTCATTCTAGTAAGTGCTACATTAATCCTAACTTTCCCATTTCTCTAAAAGTAGGTTTACTTTAAGTTTAGCTTGAATTAGTAATAATAAGTTTAAGCTAAACTTATTATTAACTTATGATTAATTAACCGGTTTCTGCCAAATTTACCTTAAAATGTGACCTGCCAAGGAGGTAATGTTTTCACCTGCATCTGTTTTTGTCAGCAAGATTAGACAAAAGGTACTGCACTGACCTTACTGATGGGATGGGCCAGGGAAGAGCCTCTTACATTTTGGGGCAGATCCAGATCATTGACCATGAATAAGAATTATTATTATCATTAGTATTATTATTAGTTTTCTCTGGAGTCTGTTGTATGTTGTTTGATGTAGACCTAGGCTGAGGTCTGCGCTCTCTTTGTGTCATTCTATTTCTTATTTAAACATTAATATTGCTTTACTCTAAAAACTGTAATGTTCTTTCCCCCTCAGTACTTGGTCAGCTGTTACCTCTGCTGCATGGCAATCTCAACAGCAGCAAAGTGATCATCACTGAGTTTCAGGAGTTTTGTCGTCAGCAGACCTCATCCTCATCATCACCTCCTGAACTGTCCAGCCCTCAGAGCCCAGCAGAAAACATTCCTACCAGGTAAAACAATATTTGGTCATCCTCAAAATTAAATTTTTAAATGGTAAAAGTAAATACTGTTATCCTAATGATAATCTAATCCTCCTGTACTGACTAAAACAAATGTATCTCCTCAAACATCTCTTTAATAAGGAGTTTTATTGTAAGACATGTTTGCCTTTCAAATAAGTAGTTTTAACAAACTGCTATACATCAAGATTTACAGTTTTTATATTTTACCTCAATTTTTTTTTCCTTTCATCAGAATACACCTGAAGCGCCTCATAAGGAACAATGCTGTTTATGAGAAGCGCTCAACTTACAGACGCTGCTGCTGGTATGTGCACACAGAAGTCCTATCCTCTTTTAGCCAGGAAGCTCTTCCAGTGCCCTGCCAGTGGACCTACCTCACCACAGGAGCTCGGGAAGAGTCCCGTGAAGAACCCCAGGTGGCCACAGGCTCTCAGGGAAACTCTCCCACTACACCTCAGACCTCCTCCACCACGTCTTCATCCTCCAACAAAAGGAAGAGCACAGGCAGCATGTCTATCACCAAGTTCATGAAGAGATGCACTGATCCTGAGCAGGTAGAGAAACGCCCTCAAACAGATCACTTATTTATTTACTGTGACATTTTAGTTCTTTTTGTACTTTAGTTAGTAGGTGATTGATGCCCCTTTTGGCATATTTCCATAGAGATTATCATTTTATCAAGATATGATTTTCACAAGTTTATTGTAGCTTAGTGTCGTATCAAATGGTCTTATTTCTCTGTCCTTGCCAGACGGAAGCAATGGAGGCAGATGGTTTTCAAGCTGACACTGAGGACGACGATGAGGACGACTGTGTCATCATCTCCACACAGAGTGGTGAGTTACACAGTAAGGATAAAAAGCTGTCATGGTCGACTTTTAATGTTTCTTTAAGATTCAGACTTTTTTGCAACATTGTGATTTTTAAGATGTATGATCAAGTGCATATTGCTAATAAATGAATTTTAAAATGGGAGCAGATATAATTGTCACTTAGACCAGCTCTGGTGATGGAATAGGACATTGTGGCCCACATGATCAACTTTTACAACTACAGCTATATGCATACAAAAGATGTGTAGACATATTCTCTTTTTACAGATAAGTCACTGGTGGCGGCTTAATTTGAATAGTAAAACAGCAATAGTTCAACATTTTTAGAAATGCACTCAGTGGCCTTGTTTCTGTGAGTTGAACTGGCATTATGCTTCTACAAAGATGCATGTAAACGCCTGAGAACCTATAAAGAGAAAGGTGTTGTGACGAACAGTAGGTTGCTGAGGAGCAGACGCACACATTTCCCAGATCTTAATGTGCTGTACAGATCTGGGCATCAATTAAACTGACTGGATGATCTAACTCCTGTTGGGAAGTGAGTTCACAACAGAAATAAACAAATGTTATACAAGTTGTGGGTTATGAAGAGTACAGGGATAAAACCTAAATGTCTCAGAACAACCCCCATGAATATTCACCTCAGTCTTTAGATGATAGGACTGATACCAATCATGTCTTGTTACTCATGAATTAGCTTACCTAGCAAACAGAGTCCAAGCAAGAGGGAACTGAGCCTGGCTCTGTCCAAGGTTTTATGCCACAAGTGTGTGTGTGTGTACGTGTGTGTACGTGTGTGTACGTGTGTCTTATTTGCCCAGTCTAATAGAAATATAAAAGCAATTATTAAAATGCCTCATTCATTTACAAACTCTGGATTACAAACTGGATTTTATCAACCAAACTTTACAGAATCCAGTTTTTAGATGGCTGTGTAATTTTTTTTTTTTTCATAACTTAAATGAAGTTTCATTAAATTTGACTCTCAAGGCCCAACCAGAGAGAACTCCTCCAACGAGGGAGATGTCCTCATGGAAGTCACTCCCTCCGACACAGCAGCTCTCCCTGTGGCCAGCGCTGCTCCTACACTCGCCACTGCCTGAGGACGGGATAAACCATCTCCCCCAACCAAGCTACTCCTGTTTCCTCATAAATTTCTCCTTCCTGATATTGAACTCTACTGTGTCCAAGACAGAATGAAGTCTTCAAGCAAGATGAACAACCACACCCTGGTACAGGCAACTCAGCAGGCGGCGTCTGCTGAGTGTTATGAGTTCCCTCTCACCTAATATTTTTAAAGGAGCCACGAACCATTTTTCCAGTAAAATGTAATTGTGCATAAAATCTGAGAATCTGGCTTGATCATTGAGGGCAGGTTTGTCCAATGTTCACTAACTATGAGTCTGATTTTTTGTATTGAAGTTTCAGTCAGCCTTAAGTGGAACGTGAACGTCTTTCAGGCACTGCTTTAGCTACAGCAGTTTGGGTTGAACAGAAGGAGGAAGAGCAGAATTTAAATGCCTAATATTCACAAGAATCATCCAAGACGTCAAGAACAGCATTATTTACAGTTTTGAAATGTTGAATTCATGATGTGGATTTCTTGCGCTCTAAATGTATATAGTTTACCAGAAATTAGAGTTGGGGAAATGGGAGGCTTAAAGTCCATCTGTACATTTCCCTTTGATTTCAGTGGGTGCATTTATTCTGCAATTTCCAATTCTGACAACTCACTGGTGTAGTTGCTAGATCTGTACTTGTACAGTTAGGTCCAGTGTCACCGTGTTTTATAAATATGTATTTTGTGTATTTTCAAGAATACTTGAACAGGATAAATTCATTAAACATGAATAAAAGTACTGCACTTTTATCTTCTGTTCATTCCTCACCCCTTCATCTGGGTGCCTTTGCTAGTGTGATGCTATCTCCATTCAAACAGGCTAATATTTCTTATCAGGACCTGTACTCTTTACTTAAGAATATCATGTTTAAGAGAACAGGAGTCTGTTCAGCAGTGACTGCTCAACAGTGAATCTAATATGGCTTTTTGTCTGTAAAACGGTGACAAGTATTGAACCCTTGAAGTCTATATTTGGTAGAGGCATCTTTATCAACACACCGCTTGAAATCATTTGTGCACATCTGTGCACTGCAATTTTCATAGCAAAGGTAACTTCCTCTTAAGTTTCCTGGAAAGGAATTTGTCACTAATTATAAGGGAAAACAAATTTTTTCCTTGAAAGAAACGCTTAAGTTAAACCCCACTGAATGTATTAAGTCTTCATTTATCGGACACTTGAGTCTTTACATGTTATGCTCACCTGAAGAGAAATTTCACATCTTGGCATGTCCAGTTGACCTGCTGAACACACTTTTGCACCTGATATTTTTAGTACCAGATTGCATATTTCTCTCCAAGAAATTTAGGAGAAAATAAATCAGGAAAAAAAAAGTTGCACTTATTCCCCCATCCATTGCAAAACTGCTCAAGTGCAGACAGGGTTGTCCTCCAGGATTTCTGGATTTTGCTGCTGAGGCAGCTACACAGAAGTGTTCACACCTGATGAAGCTGCCGCCACCAAGATTTATGGTGGAGATGGTGTCTTTCTGCTCATGTAGATACTACAAATGGCGTAACAAAACGGCGTAGCATGAGTGGAGTAGCAAAGAAAGCCGTCCATTAATGACTTACATTTACGTCAGATATCCATATGGTGTTTTAAAGGTCTTGGTTTGTGTTCAAGAAAGCTTTTTAGGGAATTCAACATTGTAATGGTTGTTGTATTATACACAGTATGTCATGTGTCAGTAGTTGAAGTAAACAGACTTGCCTCATAATTGTGTTTATTAAACAAAAGTTATGATGCAGTGCAAGCGATTTTCTTTTTTTTCTTTTTTTTTTTTTTTAACAGGCGGGTTAAAAAGCAATAGAACAACTCAGAACATCTGGACAGATCACAACTGCTCACGCTTATTTTAATAAGATTACAATGCTGTTAAAACACTTAACACCCTTCCATCGAATACCTGTGGAGTACAGAAATGTTGCTTATGACTTACATGACCTTACAAACGCTGGGAGTGTATCAAATCCTTCATGAAACCGATTCTTGAGATCAGCTTGTTTCTTAACATGCAGAAGTTACAAGTTGTGTTTTTGGTGTGCAACTGAAATTTATGCAGGTTTAAGATGGTGAGGGGAAAAAAAACCCTACAACTTTCACTTGGGATGTATTAGATGAGTGGTGAGAGGTAGGTTGTTGTCATCTTAACTAACCACCGGCAAGACAAGCTATAAATAGCTTTTACACATTTGCCTGGTATATATTCATACAGCAAAACCACCACCAAAACAAATGTATTAACCTTCAATGACACGTTTCCAGGAAAAAAGGTGGATCTGAAACACTTAACATTAATGCCAGAGAAAGTTGCTTATGTGAAGTTTCTGCAGCAAACCTAAATTAAATAGCTGTAATTTTACATTTAGGGCGCTATACACACCTAGTGTTTTATAAAGTTTTAAATAAAATACAAGAAAATATTTTGGTATTAGAATTGACAGCACATGTCTAACTCTCTATATTGGGGACCGTATCTCTAAATATTTGCCTCAGCTTTGGACCAAGTCAAACTATCCAGAAAACAACATTTGATTTATGATTCATGATCTGGGCTTGTGCTCATACATAGAAAAGTCATTACATTTGACCTTTTGATTATCGGAGCATCCACAAAAGCCTGTTTGTTGTACAACACTAAGGAGTGCAAGGCCACTGCAGAGCAGAGGACAAACGAACAACAGAAGCTTATGTATATTTATGGTCACTGAGCCAGATTCATATCAAAATCAGACCAGTTGTCTATCAGATGACAGATTAAACAATTGGACAACCTCGAACACTGGCAAACAAAATTTAAAGCATTTTGAGCCAGTGCCAGCCTTGAGTAAAGCCAGTGCATTAACACCCAGTAGCTTTTAAAATCAAAGGAGCTACTGTAGGTGCTGAGATACTAAATACAATTCAATACTAAATACAATTCAAAAACAGTTTCCTATTCTTGATTTTATTCTATGTGACTGTGCAGTCAGATGTGTATATTTTATTTTTGTTAAGCAAGAGGGACTGTTTACTTAAAACAAAAACAAAGGAGGACGTGGTGACAGCTAAAACAAGGTCTCTCAACATGCCACATGAAGTATACCTGACTGGTTGACTGCAGGGTAGAGCACAGAGGACTGCTGAGTCTGTTTACTACACAGCATGTACATTCAGGATGCATCACAAAACAACACGTATCCCTTGCTTTCTCCTCTAATCTGTTAGTTGTGCTTCAACAGAATGTGCTGCTGAGACAGACTGCAGGGTGACACGATCCCCACAGTGAAGATAGAGGGGTATGCTCAGCAGAACAAGCGCATTTAGGGTGAAGATGCCCTTAGCCTATCACTGCTAATGACGTAAGTTAGCATTTGTAAAAAAAAACACACTCATCACTAGTTGTTTGTAAGGAGCGATTTCAACCCTGAAGTGCCAGGCTGGAAGGTAGCAGGGAGAGTTCAGGGACAGAGTACGTCTGCTCAGTTAAGGGTCCGAATGGTTTCCAGCAGCTCTGGTTTGAGAAGGGTGGGGCTCTTTCCACCTGCAGCTGCAATATCTGCCTGCACAGCTGTATCCCAGGCAAAGATGAGCAGAGCTGCAGGGACCTATAAAAAAACATACAGATATACTTAAATATTAACTGACTGTTTAATTAATTAATATGGTAAAATATTGACAAATGAATAGCAAGTTGTTACAATATATGAAATATTCTAAGCAAATGTTCTCGAGCAAATGTTTGGTTTGTTTACAAGATAAATTCTTGTAATGATAAATCTGGCGTTAAATATTTTTCACAAAGATCAAAACAAACAATGTGTTGTCAAACTCATTTGTTCCTACTAAGGACATAAATCTTCTGGCCTAAAATATGCACTTTCATTAAAAAAACATCTCAATAATTTCCTACAAAAGCTGCCCACTGTAGTTTTAGCAAACATTGCTCAAACAGGCACAAAGTGCATTTGTTGGGAGTATTTTTTGTGTTGTTTTAGTAAGTATTAATAGCAGCAGGACATTGTACAGTATGTGGCATTGAGTCATAATAAAGTACAATGTCCATGTTCATAATAATAAAGGAGCATGTGAACCTGCACAACAGTGTGGCTCACTGGTGTCTTTCTGATGCAGCTCGAGGGCACAGACAAGACTTGTTAGTAGGATCAATTCACTGTCAGTTTCTGTCTCTTCATTGTTTACAGTTTTCAAGAGATGTCTCTGGTTTCAACTCACCAAGTTTCGCTCTGCGAGAGCGACTTCTTCAGCCTCCTCTAGTTTTTGACCTCCAGGAGCAATGAGCTCAAAGGGCTGCCACCCGTCCACCAGGGACTCCCGCACAAACCCAAACAACACAGGCAGCCGGTCCCACGCATAAAAGGTCCCTGGGGTCACAAAATTGCATTTACTGACTCTCTGCCATTTGTATGAAGACTATCAGCAAAAACAGTTTTAATAGGTTTTTGAAAATGACAACTATAACTAAACTTTTTTTTGTTCAATAATACTGATTAAAAACTTTGTTCTTACCTTGTAACAGGTTTCCATCAGGCAGTCTGATCCTGAGCAGGGTGTAGTTGTATTTCCTTCTCTCCCTCTGCTCCTCTTTCTCCCTCATGGCTTTTGTGCGCAGCATGGCGTTCTTCTCCACTAAATCACTCCTGAGAAACACACACAAGACAAACTGGTCATGGAGTGCAGGCTCCCTCAAAGGTTAGTTTCTGCTGATGGACAAACACTAATGGACCATGGTAATGGGAGGTGTACGTGACACACAATTTGGTATTTTTTGGCTTGAACATCCCTACCAGAATCAGAGAAAATTGTAGTTTTCTGTGTGATTACATGCGTTTTATAGTAAAACAATGCATAGTGAAAAAGGGAAATAGAACAAAAAGGTTTTGACTTAGTCTGGAGAGGATGCGCCTCCATCAATTGACAAAAAAAGTGTTGCGAGACAGTCTTTAAACTACCCTTCACCACTGAATTGAATTTACTGTTGACTTATTTTACATCTGCTATACATGCAATTTAAATTTAATCTTTTTATTAATGTATCAATCTATAAATGTAGTTCCTACAACTTAGACTGGAGCATCTGTTAACAAGGACTCTATACTTCTGCTGTTGCTCCCTCTTCAGCTCCTCTGCCGTCAGGTTGTAGAACTCTGAGGGCAGCTCGAAGCGTTGGGCGTTGGGAGACGGTCTGAAAGCTTGAGGCTGTCTGTCCAGCTGAGCTCTGACTGGCTCTCCACTCTGAAGACGATCCCTCCTCTCCTTCATCAGCTCCAGGGCATCGGGACTCTGCTCTGGTAACACCAGGAACTCCTCATCCTCCTCTGATCTCCATGAAAGGTGAGCACAAGTGAAAACATGTTATGACTGTTAATCAAGACTTGTGTTTGCCATGTTAACTTTTTTTTATTTTTTTTATTGATCTGTTGACTGTGATATATCAGTGAAAAACCACTGGCCAGTGCACAGAAAACAGCTTACGGGTATTTTTCAAAAGCATCAGATTAATTTTTAATTTACCTTGACCCTCTACAGCAAACATAACGCTTATGAAGCCCAGGGCCTGCAGGAACTCTCTACTGCCCTCCACAGAACGCACTTTCTCCTGATACAGAACAAAAGGAAGAATGAGCTAAAAGAAATGCAAAACTATCTTTCTCCTCAAAGGGATTCCATAAAATCTGAGTCTCTAGTTACTTACACACCTGAAACACCTTGTTGCTGAGTTTAATCTTCCTGTATTTCTCCTCTGTGGGACACTTACATATATTTTCCACATACCTGTTGAAAAAACAATGAACAAATGTGAAATAACAGGATAATTTTAAAATATTAAGTTAATGAAGAAATTTAATTCTGAGAGAATAGTTAAAAAAAAAAAAAACAGCTCAAAAATCTAAGTCAATCTTAGTTGAACATAATCTTTCATCTGTCATTAGTATCATTGTCAATTACTGCCAAGCGTCTTACTTGCTTATGATGTCGACAGCAGTCTTCACTTTCTCTTTGTCTTTGTTAAATGTGTGGATCATCATAACAGAGGCCTCAACTGCATCCTCCTCAAACCTCTGACAGTGAAAACAGAGTACATGTTTTATCAACAGTACAAGCTAGGATATAATTTAATCCCATTCAAATCACAGTATTAAGCTGCAAGCGCATTCCAATTCAAGCTAAAACAAGAACAAGTGACGATATCTTCGGACGTACCATTAAAATGGCCTCTTTAATGTGTACTTCCCTCTCACTCTTAGTTAAAGTGGCTCCAGTTAGCGGACAGGTGAAATACACACCTGACACTGAGAGACAGGCGGGATCTTTCACTGGCACGTTGGATCCCTGTAAAGAAAATGTCATTCACTAGTATCATCAGACTAAATACTTGTCACTGTAGGAATATAATCTTAAAAGGTGTCACTTCAGAAAGCTTGATTTAACCGAACAAATCAGTATATTACTTACCTCTGCTGTAGCTGCCTTATCTTTTTCAGCCAGTGCAGCCGCCTCTGCCTCCAGTTCCCTTTTAACTATGAGCAAATGCAGAAAATCATGCCATTATATGTCCTTTCTAGTGGTCAGTGTATTTAGTATAACCAAAATATCATCAACTTCATTAAAATAGTGTGATTTTTTGGTCAAACTCTTATCTTTCAGTCAAACTATAGACTATACGAAGACATTCAAATGCCATCTGCTCATTAAATACTGTAGTTCAGCAGCTATATCCACTTTCCGTAGATTTCATGGTTTGGGGATCTTAAAAAATATCAAACACATAGAATAAAGGGAAAAACCTCTACACTTTTGCAGCATGTAGCAAGGTGGCAAACAAAATGGCCTGATCATATAAGCACTAAGTAAAACATAAGACCTTCAATATCAGTAATGCACCAATTTGTTTTTTTTAAGCCATTTGTTTTCAGCAAGTTGTCCTGAATGTGCAGAGAATTATAACATGTATTTTCTACAAAGCACATTCAACCCATTGCCCTGATCTGAATAACAGCCCCACATTTACATGTAATGACTTAAAAATAGCAACATTACTCAAAGCATGTTTGCTATCAGACACCACCCAGAGTGATTCATTACAAAAATGTGTGCATCACTGCAAATATGTGTGTTTACGTGTCTCACCCTGATTCCTAATGGCGTCCTGGGAGGTGTGGACCTTCGGCCGGGACTGCTGTTCAATCCTGGCCAGAGCTGCGGCTCCAGCCCTCTGTGCTCCTTCACTGGGAGCATGGCGGTTATGTTTGGCACTGGAGCTGCTCTGCAACACCTCAGGCTTGGTACTGTGGGGTTATGAGCACAGAAAAGCCAAGTGAGGAGACATGTTACGACTTCACGTTAGCCCTAAAATCTCCCCCTCACAAACTGAAGCTAACCCAAGCTATGTCACCGACAGCAAGCCCACTATTTAACTAGCAGTTAAATACTGGGTGGTTTAACAAACACTGCGAGTAGAAGTTTCTTTACGTTGCTTAAACCATTGACTAAATAATCTTGTTCAAGGATTAACTGTTAGCTGCTCTGAAATTAGATGGACGCCTCCCACTGTGCTGAGTATTATATAATCTATTGGCGCACAGTGTCAGACGATAAACGCTATCTAACATACTGTGAAATACCATTAATGAACATTGTTCTAGTGAGCTTTACGACATGCTTATAACAACCCAGTAATAATTTATGACCAGCGACTAGCTATCAGCTAACTCAATTTTGCACAGCGCTAACTTCAGCTAGCTGAGTGGCTAGCTGAAGTTAGCGCTGTAGCTGCTGAGAAAAGTTTGCCATTTGCCTGGTATCTTGTGTTAGCTTCTTTCCAGGTCCCGCGGATTTAAATTTAATGTCTTTCTTAATGTCATCCAAAAACTTCTTCATTTCCGTGAGCTATCTGTGAAAATATGGCCGTAGAGACAGAGCACCCAGCCACTTAGCTAGGGGGATGAGGACCAAAACAAAATTGCTTCTGCTGACTGAGAAACTGCTTCCGCCTCCAAAATTGGTCGTGTCGCCGCCTTGTGGCTGAGTTGAACACTGAAGAATTAAACGGACATAAGTGCAGTAATTGTGCTGCTTATGTTGTATAAAACATTTCTGGTTGGGATAGCTATGTGTGGGAAATAACGTAGATGCAAAGACCAAAGATCTGTGAGGAAGCATGAGTGACACAAGAAGGCCCAATCCCAATGTCCACCCTCACAGACTCACAGACTCTGACTTTCTCAAATAAATTGAAAGGGCAAATCTCAGCTCTGATCAAAAGGACACAAAGGCCAAATTGAGAGCAATAACTGGTGATATGACATAAAGTAAGTGAAGCACCTGCACAAAAAGTAATAACAAAACAACGATGAAGATGTAGTTGAACGGTTTATTTAACACTTGCTTTGAAGACTAATAGTTATTATGGGGAGTTGGCCTGTCAGTTATGGACCTTGACAGAGGAGCTTAAGTGAAACCCGAAAGGTGGGGAAAAAACCCAGCATATAATATAAAAAGACAAACACTGATTTTTAGCAGTAACTCAGCAAGAAATCAGCAAATCAGCAAATCATGTTTCCAAATAGTTCAGAATTTATATGAGAGAGAAGGATAGCAACATGATCTCTGAAGCAAAAAAAGAGGAAATGTACAAAAATACTTGAGTAAATGTTACTTGTCACCTCTGTATATTGACATTAAGCTTCTTTGACAAGCATTTTTCCAAATTTGTCCAGAGTTTCTCGGTTTGTTTTCTGACAAAATTCTTTGCGACATTGAAAATTTTAAGATTTACGAGGAGCACTTAAAAGCAGCACTCCTGCTGGCCACACACACACACACACACACACACACACACACACACACACACACACACACACACACACACACTCGGCGCCGCCGTTAGTGCCACGTCAAACGTGACGTAGGCGGAGGTGTAGTCCGGGTGGGAGGTGCTGTAACCACCAGCACAAAAAGTCATACAGCCTCTGGCTTTAATGGTCTTCAAACACAGAGGAGTCCCCGTGAGAGGTGAGAGTTTAATATTGAATTCATCATATCTTTAATGTTTTCACTGAGCTGACAGTTAGCCGGATAGCTGCTAGCTAGTGTCTGCTCGGCTCTGGTTGTTGCCGCTGTGACTCGTGTGTTGCTGCTCCTGCTGAAGACAGAGGCTAACCACGGTGACTGATACCTGTAACTTAGCTTGACGATACACAGCATAAGTCTTAGTCTGGATAGTAGAGTTTAGTAAACGGTCTATTTCTTTACACTACGGTACTTCTGAATATTTTCCTGTTGCGTGTTAAACGAGGCATGCCTGCTCTGTTTTGGTGAGGAGAATAGCCCTAACTTCAAAATCCTGTGGAAGACTTGTCAACCCCTCCTGGAAACGTAAAATGTGGACGTTTTATCTTAGATCAGAATTATATCATGCTTATGTCTGACAGCTACCTCTTTCAAGTAAATCTATAGGGGTATATGACTACAGCCTTCAGCATCCAGTTCATTACAGTAGTTACTTCAGTCATAGTTTTACTGATGCTCACCATTGTAATTGTTGTTGTATTATAATGTAAGTGGTTGTGCCAGTCTTACCAGTAGTAGAAAATACTAAGGTTATGAGTCAAATCTTCACCTTCATACAACTTCATCTTCCTTCACTATGGCCAGGTGCCAGATGTGTAACTCTGGCAAGGAATACCAAATTCCTTTCATTCTGACTGAACTTATCTAGTGTCCTCCCTTAGTATAATCAAATTTAATTGAAAGAAATATTAGAACCATCCTTAAAAACCCAACTCATGTGTGTAATAAATTTGTCTTCATGTCATGTAATTTCCTAAATTTCCAGAAACATACCTGAGGTGATCTCAGTGATTGTGGCCCTGCTTACCTCTCATTCCATGTTTTCATCTGTGTTTCAGTGTGACAGAGTTAATCAAAAGCATTGTTGATCATGGACTTCAGCGCCAGTGGACTCACCCAGAGGTTGGCTGAAGCCGGCCAGTCTCACCTCCTACAGTTCTGGGGTGAGCTGAGCCCTAAGGAGCAGGCCGACTTGACCCACGACCTGCAGGGGATGGACTTTAATGAGATCAGTGGATTCTTCAAAAATGCCATGGAGACATCCAGCAGCAGCAAACATGAGAAGATGGATGCCCGCATGGAGCCAGTGCCCCGGGAGGTGCTAGGGAGTGTGACGAGGGACAGAGAGAGTCTCAAAGACTGGGAACTAGCAGGTGAGCTCCATTGAAAGTGTTTCTGCCTCAAAAATGTTTATTGTGCCCAAACCTCTATTTGTCAAAGTGCCACTGTTATAAGGAAACTAAGAGGATTTTATGGCAGTATTTGATTTTTATTGGATTTATAACAATGTCAGTACAGTAGGAGAGAGAGGAGTATGAACTATTACCAGTTGTTAAACTAGTAATAGTAAGAAGAAAAGACTTGAGGGCAAAATGTCCTTCAGAGACTACAGCCTTGCAATTAAGACTTGTTCAAATAGTCACTTATGGCTTACAGGTAAGAGAGAGAAAATAATTCCTGGTATCTGCCTGGGAAGCTTTGAGGGGATTAAAACATCACATGCTATGATGTTGAGATGGATCTGTAGGCATTCTGATAATGGGGGATGAGAGGCCCCTTAATCAAATCTTAGCTCATAGCTTGTTGCAAAGTCCTAGTTGAGTAGCACTAGAAACTCCCCATTTACCCTCCGTGTGGTTGTCTAAACTCACTAACTATCCCCAGTGTTACTCCCCCAGTCTCTGTAGATTTGAAATATGAGTGAGTCAGATTGTGTTGTTGATTATGCTTTTGCGCAATCCCCCTTGCAGTGAGGGTCTGACCATTTAGTGAGTGTGTTGGGTTTTTTTTCCAGAGGGAGGATGACAGTGGAGGTGGGCAGCATAGAACATCTGGTTTTGATCTGGGTCTGACGTAAATAGAGTTGCTGCTTGACCCTTCATGAGGTCACCCTGCTTTGTTGGGACCAAATCTGTGTACAGGGTGTGGTGTGTGTTGTGTGTGTGTGTGTGTGTGTGTGTGTGTGTGTGTGGGAGAGTAGTCAAAGTCTAGCAGTCCTGCCCAGTACAAGGGTATAAACCTTGTCTTTTGGCACCCACAAGTAGAAAGAGTGCAGATATTAAGTCACATATCAGCAGTTTATGTAAGATAAACCACTAAAACCACTGAACCAGTGGAAGAGTTCAGGGCTAATTTAATATATCATATTGCCAGAGTCCAGTAGGACTAGACTAGTCATAAAGTGTTGAGTGATGGCTTTAATGATATCATCAATAATTTTTATCAGCATTGTTTGTGGTTTGTTATACAAGTTTGTTATTATTTTTTCTAAGATGTTCTTACAAAGGTAATAAGAATGCACTCTGGCCATCACTAGAGATTAGATACTGTGCTAGTAAATTGGGATCGTATTCCATCATATCAATACGTGAACAGAGATATGTTTCACTGTCTCAAATAGACTTTAAAGGACTTGTATTCTTAAACAATCAGACCTTAATGCGACTATTTATGACTGTTCAAACTGTTCTGCTGTGTGCCCCTTCAGGTCTTCAATGCATCTCTCAGAGCAAAGTGGCGGTCCTGCTGCTGGCTGGAGGCCAAGGTACCAGACTGGGGGTCTCTTACCCCAAAGGCATGTATGACGTGGGGCTGCCATCCCACAAAACCCTCTTTCAGATCCAGGCTGAACGCATTCTGAAGCTACAACAGCTGGCTGAGCAGAAGCACAAAATCAAGTGCTGTATTCCCTGGTAAGAAACCATGTTATGCTTTAGGAGGGTATTTAGGAAGAAATGATGACTAAGCTGTTTTTAGTTACAATGTCAGTTGAATCTGCTGCTTTATTTGAGAAAAATAAACAGATATATGCTTTCAAATACTATCTCCTTATTTGCAATTAAAGCCAAAAACATTTGTCCCAGTTGTGTTTGCACGTTGACTTACTGGGTCAAATCACTGTGAGCATCAAAGGAAGCTCAATTAAGGAAGTTGTGTTACTGGAAAAGGATTAGTTCCCTGTGGAGTAGGGAAATTTTGAAAGATAGAGATACCAGGAAGGCAGTGGAGTGCATAATGTCTTTATAACACTGTAGTAAGGGCCAATGAACAATGAAGTTTATGTCAGAAATGGCAGAATGACATATCTCTCAGCAAGTCTGTTTTTGTAAGGAGGTTGTTATTTTTTTATTGTCTATCATGTACTTGAACTTTTATGCCTCTGGCTTGGGGTGACGTCAGCTTAGCTGTAAGTCTTGTTTTGTGAACGGTCTCTGAAGAAGATTTTTATGTAATTGAAAGGGTCTTCCTACGTGTATATCCCCCTTTTCCTTCAGATACCTGTTTTATTGTTGTGTAAATTATATAAAATAGAAAGGAAAACAAATAGTGCAAGAATCAGGGCTAAGTTCCTTTTCCGTTGCCTTCAGGTACATCATGACCAGCGGGAGGACGATGGAGTCAACAAGGGAATTCTTCTCACGTCATAGCTACTTTGGCTTGGACAAAAACAACATCATCTTCTTTCAGCAGGGCATGCTTCCAGCCATGGACTACAATGGCAAGATCATCCTGGAGAGCAAAGGAAAGCTCTCCATGGCCCCTGGTAAGCTCCCTCAGGATTTGATTTTTTTTTTTATAGTGCTTTCTAGTGTGAGAATGTCTTATTTATCAGTTCTCATGTTTCAAACCAGTCTATCTGTGCTTGTATTTCAGATGGGAATGGGGGTCTTTACAGAGCTCTGGGGAACCAGGGCATCATGGACGACATGGAGCGGAGGGGGATCGCATTCATCCATGTGTATTGTGTAGATAACATCCTGGTCAAAGTGGCAGACCCCTCCTTTGTTGGTTTTTGTGTGGAGAAGGGAGCGGACTGTGGAGCTAAGGTTGGTCACCCCTCCTGCTCTTTCCGTCTGTAGCTGTCTTTTTTTTCCACCTGATTTGATGAATTGCAGCACTAATTACTGTAGGTCTGAAACTTAATTATCTGTGATTGAGGTTCAATTTCTTTCAATTTTGAAAATCTAGTATTTTTGTGACTACTATGGTCTTTAGGTGTGTTCCACATGGCAGTAAAAGTCTCTTTCATCAGATGCTTCATTTTAAGAAAAGCAAGATTAACACAGTAGCAGACTTATCATATTCCTGTCATAAAGTTGCTTGATACAATGAACTCACTCCACTGATACACTGATAAACTGAGACTTGTCTTTTATCAGACCAGGAAGTTATAATAACATTGCAGGTATCCACGCAATGAGGTTTAAGGTTAAAAAAAACATCCATATTAGTCACTGACATACTTAAGTGTGTTGTAAGTGGATAAGAACTTTACAAGGGAACAAACTACTTCAGCAGTCAAACCTGAATGCAGGCTGCATGTGATCCAGTCGGTCTAGATTTTAAATTCCAGGACGTCTTCGGTTTGTGGATGTAGATCAGTATCTTTGGAGTGTGTGGCAGTCTTGTTTTAAAGGGTGTGGTCAGTTTGCTGTCAAGTGTGTACACAGCCGCACTTTCTGCAGCTGACCACTGGGTGGCGATACAGGCTACTCTGTCTCCTCCTGTAGTCTTTTGAGCATTAAATTCATTATAGCTTTCTAGGAAATTTGAGGCTTGAGCCCAGAATCTTCCTCTTCCACTTTTCATCATGGTCTCAGATAACATGGGTGTTTTGAGAAGACGACACTTTTTCCTAAACAGTTGCTTTGGACAGAGGGTGCTCTCAGTTTGGGGAAGGAAAAGGGTTTTTCAGGGTATAGCAGTTGAACTGGAAACCTTTCCACTAGCAAATAAACAGTCTTCATGGTTAATTGTTTTAACTTTTCTTAGTTTTTTTCATAATCTTATTTTTGTCTGGCTAGTAACAGTTATCAGTACAGCCAACATACTGAACAGGAAGCGACTCACAGAACAGGTCCATCAGTTTGAGATAAGGATTGATGGAAACTCACAAAACTAGTTGTGAGTTTGGTCCTTTGTAGTTACAGTGATTTGGCCTCTGTTATATACTTAATTAGTCAAGAAAGACAGTGGCAAAGCAGCATAGGACTCCAGAAATAGCAAAACTCGAAATATGCATCTGTGGTTCCATGGGCATAATAAAGGGAAAAAGGAAAGATAAAACATGAATGAAGAATAATTGAAAATGTACTGAGACATTTTATGTTCTGTTATACAATTTATAGAGTATAAAGCAACATGATATAGAAGTACTGCATGTGATACTGCTGTTCTGGGAGGCGTTGTTGAAGCCCAAAGGACAACAATTATTGAAAGCTTATGGGACCAGACTTAAACAAGATTATGAAAATTGTTGAACTTGTGCAGAGTAGTTGAGTCAATGCTGCAAAAAATGCACTGGGTGATACTGTAAGTTACTTGTTGGCTGGCTTATGGAGCACTGAGTGGCTTGTTGCTATTGACATCAGTTTGGTCTCCTGTTGTAAAAGTTGTTTGAGTTGTTGTTGCTAAGGTTGCCACTGGTAGGAGATGCAATTAACAATAGACAATAAACCAGAAAGAGCAATGTGCAAGCATTAGGAAACGTGCTTTTGTTGACTCATAACCAAATGAGCGATTGCACGTAGGCATAAGGACCAAAAAAGTCCAAATATGTTGTTCAATATCTCCTGCTGGGGAAAAAGGATGTGGCATTTGTGACTAACCACTGCTGTCAGGTTCTCCTCCATAGGTTTTGAAATAAATTTCCGTACCATGGCAACTCCGTCAAAATACCTAATCAAGTTTCCTGGTTTTCTTAGTTCTTCTTATCACAGTTTTGCCCCCTTGTCTTCTTTAAAATCACATTAGTCAGGTCATGTTTCTGTTGGATATGCGGAGAGATCTCTGTGTCTGAACTTCTTGTAAGTCAGACTGGATGTGTCTAAGCACGATATTTCATAGCAGTACCACAATGAAATAAATTTTTTATCATATTTTCCAGCTAACACAGAATAGATTGAAATATTTAACTGAGGATCATCCAGACCCTGCTCCCACTTGACATTATGAGTTGTGCGGTGGAGCAGAGATGGAAGGATCAGATCAGAGCAGAGTCCCACCCTCCCATCATAAATTACTAAGCTCCACTACAGTTCATGTGGCTTCACCACCACCTCCTACCCCTCACCCCACCCCGCTCACCAAACCCCTCATCAGGACTCCACTCTGTAATTAGGAACCAACAGATGGGGAGAGGGTTTTTTTTCATTTACTGCAAGCTTCAACTTACTGGCTGTAGAAAGTGGAAGGTTTTAAAGAGCAAAGTCCTATTTTAATGAATTAGCTACTCGTGTGAATAGTTCAGTTTTCCTCCTTGTAGCTACAGTTTTTTACAAATTTCTTCTTGTGACTTAAATTTTCCAGGTGGTGGAGAAAACCAATCCAACAGAGGCGGTGGGTGTGGTCTGCAAGGTGGATGGGCATTACCAGGTGGTGGAGTACAGCGAGATCACCCTGGCAACTGCCGAGAAGCGCAGTGCTGATGGTCGACTGATGTTCAACGCAGGAAACGTGGCCAATCACTTCTTCAGCTTTCCCTTCCTCAGAGACGTAGTACAGTAAGACAAATGCTTACTGAACATTTTTCTGTGGTTCTGGTTGCCTCTGGCATCAAGAGTAACTCAACATCATTATACAGTGAATGTGCAGCCAACTCTTTTAAAAAAAAAAAAAAAAAAAAAAATTTTTTTATTTATATCATCTATCAGGAAGTACGAGCCGAAGCTGCAGCACCACGTGGCCCAGAAGAAGATCCCATATGTGGATACTCAGGGTCAACTAATCAAACCAGACAAACCAAATGGGATTAAAATGGAAAAGTTCGTCTTTGACATCTTCCAGTTTGCCAAGTGAGTTGCAGTGCATTTTTTCCACAGAGGGCACAGAGTGTGTGTGTGACGGTGTCGGCCGATGGCATCGTACCACAAACTAAAAGCTCTTAAAGTAATAAGAATACAATGAATATCTTATGCTCCTTTTGAAAGGTGACTGAGTTGCATTATGTTCTGCTGGCCTCCGAGCTCGGGGTTTGACTGGGCCTTGATCCGTCCTTCCCTGCATGAACCAACCCCCTTTTTCCAGTCCCGATCTCTATCCATCAGCCTCAGTCATGCCATTGCTCCGAGGTCTGGTCCAGCAGATCGGGCCTGCCAAGCTCTCTGCAGGAGGACGGAGGTTTATGAGCTGTTCACTCATTCCACCTCCTCCAATGTTACATGACATCATCTTTGAGTCACGCCACTGCTAATAGAACTTTACATCTAATGAAAGGATTCCTGTAATGATTGACTGATGGAAAAACACTGCAGACATGTCCAGCTTCCTTCGAGGTTTATTCGCCATATTTCAAAGTAGCAAAGATGAGAAATAGTTTTTGGTGTTGCTGAGGAGATGGATTACAGTTGTGCCCAGACTGGCAGCTCTAGCAGAATCCAGATGGGCTGACTCACTTTGCAGCCTGTTTTTAAAAAGGTCCTACTGTTTTCTCTTCTTTCTCAGTACTGTTTGGTCTAGGCTCTCATAGTCTTTTTGTGTGGCCACATGTGCCATATATTATGTGTGTCTTAGTCACAAGGCTTTCCACATTTGGTTGCTGTTCAACGGCAAAGTTTTGATAATGCTTATTTTATTAACTTCAACTATGTAATGCATCCTTTCTGACTCTTTATTGTGTAACAAGGCACGTGGCCTGATTAAGTGCTCCCGGGAGCAGTGCAGCCACACGCAGCATTGCAGGATCATGTGACGCACACTGGTGCAGAAAAACATTTCCCCATACACAATCATTACAAAAGAAAGGTGTCAAGTGCCTAGGTGATGAGTCCACTAACCTGTGGAACCGTGTGTCCTCAAAATGTCAACTTTTCATGAGTTACGTGGTTTTTTAAATGGTTTGTTAAACATAAGAGGTCTTCTCAACCTAGAAAAGCAACACTTAATCTTTTGGTTTTTATAAAAAAAAAATTAAAAAATCACCAAATGTAGATTACTGGAAAGCAACAAAATACACAATTCATATGAACCATCTGCTGTGATGAGAACAGTGCAGGCTAGGGCAGCAAATAACAATTTTTGCACAATAAATATTTGATTCTTTTTTTTTCAATTAATTTATAAATATAAACCTATAAAATGTCAGAAAACAGTTAAATATGCCTGTCACAAACGGTCTATAATGGTATAACGATTTATGATTATATAAAACAGAGAAAAGCAGCAAATCTTACATTTGACAAGCTGTTTACAGCGATAATATTATGTAGCTTGTCATTCCAGTACTCGCTGCTCTTTGCTGACGCTCTTTGCCCATGTGCTGATGTGATGCTGTGTGTTGCCAACAGGACGTTTGTTGTGTATGAAGTGCTGAGGGAGGACGAGTTCTCCCCGCTGAAGAATGCAGACAGTCAGGACGGAAAGGACACACCCACCACAGCCAGACACGCCCTCATGTCCCTCCACCACCGCTGGGTGCTCAATGCTGGCGGCCACTTCATCGACGAGAATGGCAGACGCGTGCCTGCCATACCCAGGTGACCACAGCCAGCTGGCTAAAATACACCATCATGCATGTCATGTCATGTCACTTCACAAGACAAACACTCTCCATGTTTAGCATGAAAACAGAAATGGGTTCCCACCTTCCAAACACTCCCTACACGTTGTGTACAAACTACATGGATTGGCTCTTTTTGTTTTGTTTGTATTAGAAACATCATATTCTTTTAGCTTCACACTCTCACTTCCCCTTCTCTCATGCTTGGTCTTGCTCCTGTGTGTCCCGTGCAATGTTTCCAGAGACGGAGCGGCAGGCAGTGTCACAGATGATGGCAACAGAAAGTAATTATCCCCCTGCAGTACTGAGTGCATGGTGATGGGGTTTTGGCTTTCTTTCCCTCTCTCTCATATTTGTTAACACTACTTCTGATCCTTGACATCCACTTTCCTTCATTACCACTGAAAAAAGGAATCCACGTGGACACATGCAGGGCGGCAGCCATTTTTCTGTCTGTCTTACAGTCAGCTGTGATGAAGGAAATGACAGCAAGGATCAGTTTAGATGACTGAAAACGCAGTGCTCTTAGCGTCCTGGTCAGATGATGTACAGTCATAATGATCTGCTGACAGATCATTTTCCCCTCAGATGGTTGCTACTAATGCATATAATGTATTGCATGCTGGGTAATGGGCTCCAGTCGCACTGTATAACAAACAGCAACTACTCTGTTGCAATAGGTGATGGACCTGTGGATTCGTGCGTGAAATAGTTACGACAAGGGCAGCCGATCTTTGCCTGCTAGTTTGCCTTTGAGTTTAAATCCACCTGCTTGTTTTAAAACTGAAACAAATGTGCATGTGCTTCAGCAACATTCGTGGCGCCCATGAATGTTATTCAGGCTCTTAAAAGGTGTGCTTCTTCCCTAATCATTCAGCTTTTCCTTTATTCTCATGATACAGCTGTGTGGACAGCTGCTCAGCAGAAAACCTGAAACACCTGATGTGTGATTAGTGATTGTTGTCTGTAATGATTATCTAGAAATAAACAATCTGAGTGACAGTAATGTGGCGCCAAGTTCCTCCAGTTCGTCAAAAACACTGGGTGGAGATGCATACGCATGTACTGTCATTCATCTGTTTTCTTCTAGAGGAAGTCTGTTACGGGTCAGAAGACTAATCACTGGTCTTGTTTGAGAATGATGAAGCTCTGATTCTCTGCCTTTGAACTCTAATCACAAGCCGCGGTAGAAGAACAGCTGTGTCAAGGACTCAGCTGCTTCTCTCGCTACAGTCCCTCTACTTTTTTCAGGAGACAATCACTCATTCTGTTTCTTTTTATCTTCCGATCCTCCCCGAATTTGTCCTTTCCAACGCAGCCTGAAGGATGGAACAGACCTGCCAATCAAATGTGAGATCTCCCCTCTGGTGTCCTACGGGGGAGAGGTAAGGAGGCAATGCCTGATGTAGGAAATAGAAACTCCAGATGTTGTTCTGCTCCCGCTGTCAACCTGAAATAATCCATCTGTACACCCACTGCCAATGACCTGATGGTGTCTGTAATTCTTTAAGGGTCTTGAAGAGTTGGTGAAGGGACAAGAGTTTCATCCAACCCTGATGATTGACGAGCGTGGAGTCCACGAGCTGGTGAAGAACGGAGTTTAGACAACGAAAGAGAGAGAGAGAAAGAGAGAGAGAGTGAGAGAGAGAGAGAGAGAGGGACAACCCAAAGATCTACCTCCCTTTGTCTCTTAACGTTTGTAGGGAGAAACTGTGATATCAGCGCTGTGCAATAACAAGTGTCGTGTGCATGTGTTCAAGGTTGTTCCGTCCGAAATGAATGAACGAGGAAGTGTATCGTTTACTTTTCAGCGCACGTTTTCTTTACTTTGTATGTCGATGTCATTCATAGTTAATATTTGTTTTGAAGAGCACTTGAACACAGCATGAGATGAAGGACGAAATCCCTACTGACTGGGTGAAGCAGTCTTAAGGTGCATCTATTTATTTTCCTTATGAGACTTATTTTTATATGTACTGATAGATGCTTTATAGGTGGGAATTACCATCTACTCATTTTACCTGATTTTTATACGGTATTGGACTGAGATAAAAAGATCAGTACTCTGTTTCTTACTAGCATGTTATCAAGGTACATGGTATGGACTGTGGGGGGTATTTATAATATTTGCTTCTTTTCTGCTTGTAATCATGGAAGGTTAGCTGTTATTTAGCTTTAAGATAAGCTATGATTTCTATCATCTTTATTAAAGAAATCTCCTGCTTGAAAAAACCTATGAATCTGTTGTCTTGTGTGAGAGTGCGTGTTCTGTACAAATAAGCCTACAATATGTGAATGTGTGAGTTTCACTTGCCAGTGTCTGCAGGGTGTGCTTTTTGCATTATAGCTCCTGGTGTCTTGAATCAGAGTTTCCAGCACATGGTTTATGTTTAAGATGGGCCAGAGCATGCAACGCTGTTGCAGCTATTCAGGAAATATTCTTTGTGGCTCCTTTGTGACTCGTTTTCTTTCTTACTCTCCAGCTCTGTTACTGCATTATGATGTGAAAGACTGCATGTTTACTTTAGCAGAAAAACACTTACTTTCATGGTGTCCTAGTTTGTACAGAGATCTCTGTTCAGATGCTTTAAAAACATTTATGAAACCTAAATATGAAGTTCTACTCCAAGACAGCTATGCTTTAGTAGTGGTGCTTTGAGCTAAATGCTAACACTAGCATGGCTGCATGCTCTCAATGACTATGTTAACTTGCTGATGTTTAGCAGGTGTAATGTTTATTTTCTAAGCAAATTTACAGATTAAAGTATTAACCTGATGATGACGCTAGATGAAAAGTCATATAAATGTCCATAGGTGTCGAGACATTTAATGCAATGTCAACCTTGTGGTGGCGCAAGTGGAAAAGTCAGCACTAAACTCATCAGGATTCTTCCTCTGGGTACTTTGAATGTCAATATAAAATTTCATGGTAATCCATCAAATAGTTTAGATATTTCAATCTGGAGCAGTGGTGGACTGACTGACTGATCAACGTTGCTATCCCTAGAGTGCTGGCATGGCTAAAAATATGCAAAAGCAGCTGAAAAAAAAAAAAAAAATCCAAAATATCCATTCAAGTTGACAATAAAATCCTTCAATTCTAATAAATTTTTCCAGCCATTGTGGTCCACTTTGCTACAGGATAGTACGTGTCCCTCATCAGGAAACACTACACACCAAGAAACCAGAAAAACCTGAAGTCACTATGTCTTTTATATGAAACTTTTACACTTCCAAATAATCGTCTAATTTCTTTAGTCTGGTCAAATGGTTCAGGTGACATCAGCAGTAAAACACACATTTTATGACGTGAGTAGAAGTCAACCTCTCTCTGACACTTGACTCACACTTTTCATGGATCTGGTTTGGCTATTAAGGCAGTGACGAACTGCAATGTTTGCGCCACTGAGTGTAATACAAAAGGTGATTTTTGTGTACTTGGAGCGCAAGTACAGGGTTTTATTTTATATGATCAAACGCAACAGGAGTACAGTATGATTTTATACTAAAATCATGTATTTACAACATTTTAAACTTAAAATACAGACTTGATGTGAAACCGTCTGAGACAGTAGCAACAAAAAACTCCCATAAATCTGTTATAAAATGACAGAGAAATGACTGCAGAGGATAGCAACACAAACATTACCTTGAGTTATAGTTGCTTCAGCCTCTAGCTGTCAAAAGAAAGACTCTTTTCAGGAGGAAGAAAGCTTTCTGATTGAGTGTTGGATTCGGCCTTAATTGAAACCTTATGTGTGGCATGTGGAATTCTGGGACTTTGGCGCCCTCCCAAGAATCCACAGAATGCAAAGTTTTTTTTTCCTGCCTCTCTCGCTCTCTCTCTCTCTCTCTCTCTCTCTCTCTCTCTCTCTCTCCCTCTCCCTCTCTCTCTCTCTTTTTTCCTATGTGCAGGGGTGTCTTACATTAGCCCAGTGAGTCCTGGTGAAGGCGCCTGACGGACAGAGTGAATGAGCGAGCGAGAGAGAGAAGGGCTCGGGTTGTAACGTTCAGCCGTCTGACTCTCACTGGAATAATCTAAAACCATCTCTGAACAAATGGTCTGAAAGGAAAAAAAGACATCTTAGAAGTAAGTAAGTCGTCCTTTTACATTTTTCACCTTTAACGCTTCATCCTTTTCTTTGTCTTTGTTTTGACTGTAAAGGTGGAACTTCAAACTGTGATCAGCTTTTGTGAAACGTGTGTGAATGTCTTAAGTTTTCCTTGTAGAATTCCACTGGTAAAGTCCTACTTGCATGTTTGAACTCACTGTACCTTTTGTGTGAAGTGGCTGCTGTTTGCATGGCAGACTAGAAGAGTGGACAGCAGAGCAAAGCGATGCAGTGCCAGATTCAAACTGCTCTGTGCTCTGCTGCTGCACATCCAGCTGTTTCCAACAGACGCTATCGCACATTGTTTTACTTTGCTGTGGTTGGCTGAAAATGTGATTAAGCCTCATTCCTTCATTTAAACACCTTTTCACTTCAAATAATGATCAGGGAGGAAGAAAAGAGTTGAAATGATGCATGTCTCTCTTTCTAAAAGTCATCAACACTGGAGAGGAAGCAGATCTCTTCAGCTTTTAAACCATTTATTTTTACTGGGAACATGCATAAAATCCATCATCTTCAGACGTGTTGGAGCTGTAATAATTTAAGTGTAATTTTGTCTGTCTGGACAGTGTTTACTGCCCCATACAAATGACTGTACTGTGCAGAATGGCACCAACTATCCTTTTTTACGAGCGATAAAAAAAAAGTGTAACTAATATAAAAATTATGTGACTCTTATTTCACTGCCTTGCATCAAGCTCACACACATCTTTGTTTGCTTTATTGTGGTGGGGAGGTTAGAAGAATGTTTTGGAAAAGTTGAACAACTGAGTCTTTATGGTTACTTAGATTCTCTCCGAGTTGACTGTGGTCAGCTGATGAAATGTTAAATGTTCAAGTTACAGCTTTGAAAAAGATTTCTGTCCCTCGAGTTCACATCCTGCTTTTGTGTCGTGGAGGTGGTGTGTGTGTTCTTCAGTGTTATGTAGGTGTTACGTGGATGGTATGTAGGTATCCTGCTGTGGTATGCGGGTGACAGATGTCCACACAGAGGCCTCTTTTCTACCTCGCTGAAGTTATTTGGTGGGTTAACCCAACACAGAGCGGTTATCTGAAGAGTTAAGAATATGTATGAACTCTCAGCTCTGGCATTGGAAGCAGCAGACTGGTCAATAGAATAATTGTTATGGAGAGGTCAAGGTGATCCTAAGGTCATTCTTGGTAGCTCTATGTGTGTGTGTGTGTGTGACGGGGCAGTTTTAAATTGTGCACATGACTGCTTTTTTGTTTTCGTTAAGAATATGGCCTTACAGCACATAACAGCTGATGCTGACCTCAAGGCCTTCATAACACGAGAGCTGAAATGATAAGTCAGTTAATCCATTAGTTAGTTGATAATTAATCAATGACAAATTTCAGCGTAAATGTGTGTGATTTTGTCACATATTTGTTGTTTCCTGTTTCTCTAATGTGAAGATTTACTGCTTTCTTCTGTAATACTACTGTATCTGATAACCTACAATGGGTAATTACGTTGTTACATGTATGATATTTCTTATCTATCTCTCATCATCATTATTTATAGTCTATAGATTAATTAATGATGCATTTAATTATTTGTTGCAGGCCTGCAGACAGGGTGTGCAGCAGATACTTTTAGGTGTTTGGGAAAGGTTTACTACACTGTCTTTTAACGGTTAAAGGGAAATTCTCCTTGAAAATACAGAAACACTGTTCGAATCCTTTTTTGAATGTTCCATCCACAATGATTAAATTATTACAGAGATTACAGATTAAATTAACTATTTTGCATGCATACAAACTGCTCTGTAGATAACATAGTGTCATCATAGTTTCTATCTTAAACATCAGGGGTCTTCTTTGGTTGTGATACACTCCATATCATCTTTACCCACACCCCAGCGCGCCCGACCCACCCCCGCCGGTCTGCGAAGAGTTGCAGGACCACGTTACTTCCTCACTTAGATGCCATACTTCTGATGAGACTTCAGAAAAAGCTAATGGAAGCACAAGTCGACAAAGCAAGTTTCAGAAAACAAAAAGTGGCATTACAAAATTTGACCACAACTTCAGTCCTGGAAACACACTGATCACCACAGATTGCCAATTTATGGTGGTGTAAGAGTATCAGGGCTAGGAAAGCTTTATCAGGGTAAATAAGTTCTTTGTCAAAGCAGAATGGAGAAGCCATTGCTCCTGACAGGGAAATATATGAAATGCCTGTGGTGGATGTCGGAGGGGAGTGGTTAATGTACTCATATTCAGTACTTTTTATTTGCTCAGACAGTTGGAAAATAGAGAGGGAGGGAGCTTTCACAGGGGATTTGATCCAAAGCCTTCACTCCATTATGTGGGTGTAATTTTACTTAACTTATACTGAGATGAACACGCACACACAAACAGGGGCAGACAGATAGAACGAGAGAGAGAGTACAGATGGAACCACATTAGGAGTGTGTTATCACTGCATCTTTCTAACATGTCATTTCAATTAGTAGCCCTCCAGTCTACAGCCTGGAGGCTGACTGACATCCTCACATACAGACCTTAAACACACGCCACAGCAAAGGCTGTAATTTCAACCCCACATTCAAAGTACTGCACGGGAGGCACCCGGTGCTTACTTAGCGTAGCTGTAACTCGACACTGACGTTGTTTGATTGGAAGTGTTTTCAAATCAATGCTTCTGGCAAGAGAAAACCAGCTGTGTGCTCTCTCTTGCTGAGGTGCATACTGTAATTTGGTATAAATAGCGGCATTGCAGGGAACATCGTCCCCTAAAATACTGCACTGTTGACTTTGCATCCCGCACATGCTTGAACTTCGACCCTGCCCAAACCAGCACCTCACTCATCACCTACCGTTTGACGGGGATTAGGTTACATGAAGCCTAAAGAACACTGAGCATCTGTCCCTCGTATTTCTGAGTTTCATTTACTTGTTTGTCTCCGACTTGAGGTCCACCTCTTAAACCAGAGGTGATTTAGCTCTAGTTACAGGAAATACAACAAATTCAATTGCTTCTGTGATATTTTGCAATAATTACTGCAGTGAATATAAGGTTGCCTCTCACAGAGAAGGCTGCTTGAGCCGACATATGGTCAGTGGTCTTATTCTAAACACAGATCGATCTCCAAACCAAATGATTATCTAGGAGCAAAAAGATAGATGCACACATACAGTAACACTCAGTAGTCCCTGTCTAAATCCTTCTCTGTGTTTACACATGTGGCCTTGGTGTTATTCCTCATTGTATCTCTCCTGTTTACATGTGACAGCCTCTTTCTGTTTGTCTGATGCTCATTATCTGTCTCTCCACCTCCACCGTCTCAGTTCCCCCTGTCTGTCCTAATTGCAGGCTGTCAGGGAAGATCTGAGGTAATATTTCACCATCAAAAGGACCTCATGACACGCTGCAGATTTCCACTGTGTACAAATGACAGTCAGGGCAGTGAATGAGTTGTCGCTGCTGACGTATCATGCTATAGGGACAACGCTTTGTTCTTTCAACTAATTTTTATCAGAATGTTTCAGTGCATTTAATCAAGCGCTGTACTTTTTACTTGTCAGCTGCAGTCACTGGTTACTTTGCAGATTTTACATTAAACAACATTTACAAAAATCAGTGCATTGTCATAGTTAAAATCAGTGATTCCCAACCTTTATATGAAAGTTCAACAAAAAAAAAATCAGTTTTTGGTTGAGACCTCGCTTCATGTTGTCAATGTGTGGCATAGCTCTACAGAGATGTTTCTCCTACAAACTTTTCAGATTGTTTCATTGTTCAAATTATCCAGTATTCACACACAAAAATAAAAGATAAAAGTAAAAAGAAAAAGAAAACATATTTGTGGAGCAGAACTTTTTCCTCTTTCTTCTCCCTTTAATCTTCTCACGACCCGTCAGATTTATTTGTGACCTTTTGGAAAGAGTCCAACCCTAGTATGTTGTATACAGTATATGAAGTAGTTAAAACTAGCTCCTCCTTACATTCTTGTACATTTACTTAAATCCACCACTGTGTGTTACCTTGTTAGTGTCAGTGATGCTTATGTGTAAATGACTTAATTCATTATTTTCCTGCAGAGTGGAGCTGAACAGAATATGATGTTGTCCTTAGCGAAGGTAAAGCTCTTCCCTCACTGGTGAATGTAAGGTGTAATAATCAGTTCTGGTATTTAAGTCGTTTACAAATACACTTTGTTTAAGAACTCAGATGTACTTTTCCTGTTGAAATTTAAGAAAGTACTTTCTCGTTGTAGCTGAATGCACAAGTGCTCCTGATTTAAGCAGCGTGCTGGGGATGGACCTTTGCTTTAATGGGGGGAAATGGAAAAAAAAAAGAGCTTCTTGGCGTGGGCTGCTGTTTTTCCAATCTGACAGTGTAGCTGTAAAGTTCAGGGCCTGGATATTCAATCAAAATGGATTTCCAGTCAAGGATTTTAGGCTACTCTCCTTACATAACAAACACAGGCCTTGTCATTGCACGATAGACACATTGAACAGTTGTGAGTCTTTGTTGAAATGTCGCTGGTGGATTCAGCAGGTAGATTAAATACAGTGCTTTCTGTGAGTGTTCACAAGTGAAGTAAGTGGGCCTACAGCCTCTCCTGCAGTTTCTCATTTTCTTCCTCCCTTGTGGCCTCTAAACATCAGCTGGTAGCCTTTACGAGCACCTGCACACCGGCTTGAACAGTTCACGTCCTCAGGCAACGAAAAGTCCCTAATGGCACCATCAGCGAGGTGTTACAGCAGGTGTGCTCCTGCTTGAGCTTGTCTAACCCAAGTGAAAGCAGTTTCAGGAGCTCCCTTTGTTTTATCACATAGCATATGGGTAGGAGAAAGTCATCACATTACAGAGAGTGTACAGGAATCACCTGCAGCTCTGTAGCTTAGTGTGACCTATGACCTGCTTGCTGCCTACACAGCAGAAGAGGGTACAGAGAGAGAAATATGTGGCAAGATTCACTGGATATAAAGCCATTGATATGAAGAGTATTGCAGCTTGTGAAGCAGC